AGAGAGACCATGAGACCTCTCTAGGCAACTGACTCCACTGTTGAGCTGCTCTGACAGTGAGGAAACTTTTCCTGATATCTAGCCTGAATCTGGCTTGTCACAACTTGAGCTGATTATTCTCTGATTATTATGCTCTGATTTGAGCAAGAAGAGATCTTTTCCTTCCTCTCTGTGACAGCCTTGCAGGTACTTATAAACTGATATCATCCCCACCACCAACCCCCAGTCTTCTCAAGACTGAACATACCCAGTTATCTCAGTCTCTCCTTATACGGCAATGTTTCCAAATCCTGAATCATTTTTGTTGCCCTCCTTTTGTGCCTAGAACTGGACATAGTCTAGATGAAGTCTGACTAGTGAAGAGTATAGGGAAACTATTACTTCTTGTGATTTGGAAGTAATACTTTCATTAATGTATCCCAAAATAGTATTTGCCCTTTTTGTGGCTGCATAGCATTGTTAGTTCATATTATGTATGTTGTCCACAATAACTCCAAGGTCTTTTTCTTTTTCAGTTCTGTTGAGCCACATATTCCCCATCTCCTATCGATGCATTTGGTTTCTTTTTCCTGGGTGGAGAACTTAGCATTTGTCCCTATTGAACCTCATTTTGTTCCTTTCAGCCCAAAGTTCAAACTTATTAAGATCACCCTGGATCTTCATTCTGTCTTCCAGGGTGTTCTCTACTCCACCCAGTTTTGTATCATCTGCAAATTTGATTATCGTTCCTTGTACTTCCTTATCTAAATCATTAAAAAAGATGTTGAAGAGCACTGGACCTAGGACTGAACCCTGTGGCACCCCACTAATTACCTTTCTTCAGTTTGAGGAGGGGACATTGATGAGCACTCTTTGTGTCTGATTTAACAGTCAATTTTGGATCCAGCTAATAGTTTTTCTATCTAGTCCACTTTTTGCTGGTTGGTTATCACAATGTCATGGGGCACTATGTCGAAAGCTTTGCTAAAGTCAAGATAGATTATGTCCGCAGCGGTTCCACTGTCCATTTGGGAGGTTAGTCTGACAGGATTAATTCTTGATAAACACGTCTTGGCTTTTATTAATCACTGCATTTTCTGCAAGGTGCTTGAAGACTGATTTTTTAAAATAACTTGCTCCAGATTTTTTTCCAGGGATTGATACCAGACTAAGTAGTCTATAGTTCCCAGATTTGTCTTTTCCCCGCTTTTTTTGAAGATGGGGACAACATCAGCCCTTCTCCAGTCATCTGGCACTTCTCTTGTTTTCCATGATGATTTATCAAAGATAATAGATAATGGTTTTGAGAGTTACTCTGCTAGCTCTTTTATGACTCTGAGTTGGAGTTCATCAGGCACTGGAGATCTGAACATGCTTATTCCATCTAGATCTTCCTTGACCATTTGTTTGTTGATCTTGGGCTTCCATCTCTCACTTTCAGCTTGTACTTCCTCTTTGTTGTAGATCTTCTTGTGGAAGATGATACCTGATGACTACATGTTGCCTGGGGACAACAGCAGGAAAAGGCTACTGTCCTTGAATCCAGTTTATGAGTTTCCCACAGGCATATGTTGCCCACAATAGGAAAGAAAATGCTGGATTAAATATGGTTTGATCTAACAGGCCTTTTCTTGGGGCAATGCTGAAGCTTAGATCAGTGTGGTATCAGTCAAGATATATCTTTACAAATTCTATACCTTTATCAGTCTCTTATAATACGTTATGTTGTAGAGTGCAATCTTCTCCATATTTGACCAAAAGTTAAGGCAGCATCTGATACATCAGACTTGAAGACTTATTCTGCTCTTCTACATTTTAAATCTTTAGTCAACCTCTTCCAAAAAAAAGTGCTGTCATGTATTCTACACAGGGGTTGCCTCATGTCACAATAAGCCATGATGATTTCCCCTGTGATATGGTCTGTCATAGCATGAACCCTGTCATGGACTTCCACATAGTACATACATGTGGTTGTAGAGGAACCAAGGAGAGAAACAACAGTCAGCAGCTTCTCATTCTGGCTCCCACCACTCCTGTCTTGTTCTTTACATTTGCTGGGAGTGTCAACAAGCCCCACGGTTGTCTGTTCTCTGCCCTCTGAACATGTCAACATCCACCATTGCCAGGCTTGTGGTGCAGGAGATCCATACCATAATCTCCCATTGGATCTGGGAGAACCACTCATGGAAGTTCCTCCATTAGTCCAAAGGCTCCATCCTGGCATAGTGAATGATAGAAGTAGGAAGTAAGATGTGCTAGCATGGAGTGGAAAGCTCTGGATTCTGGTGAATAACATGTGGACACAACTGTAGGGCAGCAGAGCTCACACACCAGCAGAAGAGACTGCTAGCTTGTATTGACACATCACGTGGCATGATTTTCTTTCTAGCATATGCCTCCTGTGTGCATGACTGCAGTGGGGAGCTGGCACATGGCAGCATGAGTACTGCGCACAAGGAAGCCTCCGATAATCTGCAACAAGGGAGTGGTGGGAGTGTGGTTGAGTAGGCCTACATATTTGCATCAAGTGTAACAGCACAGGAGAGACAGAAGTACTACTACTGTGAGCAAGTTACACCACATACAGGTATGTGTGCCCCAGCAGTTGGAGAGTTGCTGTTGAACTTTAGAGGCTTGCATTCAAGTCCTACACCTCTAATGAAGTCATAAAAGCAGTCCTGGAAACTTGCTCTCTCCCTGTTCCTCATGTCTAAAAACAGAAATTTTAAGAACCTGAATGCAAATACCCTCCAGGTGTATACTGGGACCTGTCCCAATACCCATACCTTAAAGTACACTCAGTTGGTGAATACAAAGGCACACATATAAATATTGCCTCCTTTCATTACTGGGGAAAGGGGGAAGAATCCATTCTGATAACAATAGGATTTATACTTCACACTCCCATCCACATTAATGGGATCTTTCAGATTTCTCAAGGCAGTTAGACTACTAGCAATACTGGCTAGAAGTTGTCAAGAAAGCCAACTTTTTGATTTGGCATTCACCTTTGTTCACAAGAATAGCATCTCATCTAGAAAATTCAAATACGGGCACTGGAATAATATGCAAGTATAAATATGCTAATGTACCAAACAGGTACATTAATTAAGCTTACTCACAGGTAAATGTGTATAGGTGTACAGTCCAAGACTATAAGAATCAAAACAGAAATAATGGCAATGATGAGTAATACATCTGAGTGTATAAACACTCCACAGGAAGCCCATCACATATCAATGAACTCACCAGGAACACTGACCTGTGTCAATGCAGAATTGGCACACGTATAGAAATCTACTACTTTGCCCAGTGATTGATGGCATCGTAACTCTACGCACAAATGGTCCAACTCACATGGTGTATTTACGCATGTATACATGTTGGACATGGACATGGACAAGGGCTTTTCTTGTGGCTATTGTCACATCTCTTTAAGTTCTTATTAAACCTGAACATAATGCAGGTTTAAGCTATACAATGTATAGCTTTAATAAATTTATACTCACTTTAATTCTAAATTATATCCCATGACTACTATTATGAAGCCACATGGTAGTTATAGAATATGCTATTTTAAAAAATTGTGGTGCTGGAGGAGACTCCTGTGAGTCCCTTGGACGGCAAGGCAATCAAACCAGTCAGTCCTAGAGGAGATCAACCCTGACTGCTCTTTAGAAGGCCAGATACGGAAGATGAAACTCAAATACTTTGGCCATCTAATGAGAAGGAAGGACTCCCTGGAGAAGAGCCTAATGCTGGGAACAATTGAGGGCAAAAGAAGAAGGGGATGGCAGAGAATGAGGTGGCTAGATGGAGTCACTGAGGCAGTTGGCGTGAGCTTAAGTGGACTCCGGCGGATGGTGGAGGACAGGAAGGCCTGGAGGAGTGTTGTCCATGGAGTCGCGATGGGTCGGACACGACTTCGCAACAACACATTTTTAAAAATCCATTCTAACAACAGGCTTCATCACTTTTGTATTGTTTCTCTTTAAAACTACTTGAAACAAATGTTCAGTTAGAAGGCAACAGCTCTTTGGATGTGGTCTTAAGGTTTGTTCAGAACTCACCACAGCTGTTTCACATCCCTCACTTTGTCCATTGACAATGATTGCTTCCCGCAGAACTAATACATGTGCAGGATGGAAGACTTTTTGCAAGTTCTGTGGACAGCTTGCAGCATATGCCCAAACTTTGCATCTGACTCCTCTCAGTTCCTCATGACTGATACTGTTTCTCAGTAGAGCTGGTGAACTAATTTTTAAAAGTCAGGACAGCAAGTGCAAGGCCTATGTAGTATCTCTTTCAATATAATTACAAAGAGGTGGGCATGTCTCTTTTTAAGATAGTCAGAAATTCCTTATGTTAAGAGATTCATCCTTGCTTTGGAATAAAAGCCTCCCAGACCGTATTGAGTTTTGGAACAGTGCAGTCCCAGTGCACTCTCCCAGGAAAGAAAACTGCCCCACAGCTCCAGAACATGCTTATAAATTTGACATTTAGAACCTGGCAGCCTTAACCTATCAACGTGCAGCACCGTTTCCAAACGAAGGATGTTCTTCTGGACATCTCCCCAGGCTATGAGAAAGTCTGAAAAGAAGGCAGGGGGTAGTTTTAAGACCACCGCCCCCAACGCAAGAACATCCGAGTAGAGTCCATCTAATCCAGCGTGTCGCCCTCGCAGTGGCCAACCAGATGCCCACAGGCTCCCCCCTGCCCCTTCCCCCGCAACTCCCAAGGCCTTGACCAGGAGTGGAAAGCGAGAAAGTAACGAGCGAAACGTGACGCGTGCGTGTGCGACGAGGGGGGTTGATGGCAGGACGTTGTGCAAGACCTTCCAGACCTCGTTGCTCTCTCCCGCGGGCCCTTCAGTACGGTCCAGCCACCGGGGCTCCCGCCCCCAGCCGAGGGCGGCCGGGCGGCGAAGTGGCCGGGTAGGCGCCCGGCGACCTTCGATGCGACCCCCGCCCCGCCCCGGCCCTCCCCTCCCCTCGCGCGCTCCCCCTCGCGCGCGCCCGTACCTGCTCGCGTTTCCGCCGCGATCCAGAGCAGAGAAAGCCCGCACAAGCCGGCCCACCAGCAGCAGCCGTTGCTGGAGGAGCGGGCGAACGAGGCCCCGCCGCCGAACCGGCCCATGCCGAGCTGCGCCCCGTTTGCTGGTGCGTGACAAGCCGGGCCCGCGACTTGGCAAAGTTTGCTCTCCTCGCTCAGGACGCGATCCGCCCTTTCGCAGCCCTGCTGCTGCCCCGGGGCAGCGCGGCAGGCCCGCCCCAGCCTCGTCGGGGTGGGATCAGAAAGCAGGGAGGCTCCCCACCCACCCCCGCCCGGGCTGTGGGCAGAATCCCTGCTGTTGTTGCATTACTTTTTGCGCCGCGGACCGGAGGGCGGCATGGGGCTCTTGGGGGCAAGGATGTTCCCGCCCGCGAACACACTTCTGGTGTTCCCGAGCTCGCTAGGCACGATGCTGCCGTCGGATGCTGTTTAGCCGCCGGAGATAACACCTAAAGGGGGGGGGGGGCGTTCCAGCGCAGAGATCCCTACCGCCGCCACCGCGTGCTCACAAAGTCAATGAATGGTGGATGTTCACTAGTTCTACAAAAAAGTGGGGAGGGGTCGACTTCTACAGTACCCTGCTTCAAAGTAGGCGTTCAGTTAAAAGAACACTATCTCTTCTAATTTTAGTAAACCACCCTTCAGATGCTTTGGCGCTGGTTTACAGAACTTTAATAAAATACGAAAACGAAAAAAAGATGGATTAAGAGAATATAATGGTTCCTATTAAGATGAAAAAGGCCCATAATCTGAATTTGTAACTTGGAATGAAGAGGAGTTATGCAGACTTAATTCCGTTAGCTACTACTTGAGGGAAAATAAGAAATAAATGTGTTTTTCTGCTAGCAAAGTAGAAGTCACAGTTGGTGATGAACCAATAGAAGCCAAAGAGGGAAGCTGAACTCCATCCCCACACTAGGTTCACCATGGATAGTGACTATAAAAACCAAAATAAAGGCTGAAATGGACTCAGATCTCCCCTGCATGTGGACAGAGAAAGCAGTCTCTTCCAGATACTATCCATTAGAAGTGTTGATGTTTTCTTGTTCTATGCTGTTGCTGTTAAGTACCATCAGGTCATCTCCAACTTATGGCAACCCACAAATGAATGCTGTTCAGCTAGAAAAGACCATCAAGTGTAAGGACATTTCCCCAGAGACCAAAATGGGGAGCCTCAGGTGTCACCCTTAGAACATCAGCACAAGGGTTGGTTTACTCCACAGCAGAATAGTGTGCCCACATATGGCTCAACAGCTGCCATACTAGCAAGATTAACACCAGACTCTATGGCACCATAAGGATTATAAGCGGATGTATCAAACCTACTCCTACTTGTTGACTTCCTCTTCTAAGCTAAATAGCACCACCAGCTTTACGAAGGTAAGTGAGAGAATATAGAAAAATTGGCAATCCACTTCTACCAGGGCATGATGACTTTCCTTATTTATCAGACTCAAATCCAGAAAGCCCTCACAAGCACTCGCACAACATCTGCATAATAACGTTAACATCAGTTCCGAATGTTAAGCTAAATGTTAAGAAGTTGAACGCTCAGAAACAGGTAGACATTTAGATAATTCCACACAAAAGGTGCCAGGTTTTGACTTACCTTGCCAGTATTGACAACTCTGAACAGGATTTGCACTTCACATTGTGTCTTCCAGGACTCTGCATAAATGGGCTATAGCACCTACCCCTTAGTGTGGCTGTGGGTTTCCACATCAAACTGTAAACCATATGATGACCATTGTGAACTGAGGGCATATACCAGCCCAGTGTCTGACTTTTTTCATACAAACCATGTTGTGCTTTAATGGTTAGGTGGTCAAGTCATTGATGTTTGAACAGAAATCTTTTTAACATTTATATTTTAAATGTGTTTTAACTTGTTTAAGTGCTAACTTATATCACAAGCCCATGTATGAAATGCCATATGCTAAATAAATAAATAAACCAGAGACCAAGGCCAATATCATCCATATTTTTGTATTTCTGATCACTGTATATAGGTATGAAAGCTGAGAGGAAGAAAACCGATGCATGTGAAACATGGTGCTGGAGGAGAGCTTTGCAAATACCCTGGACTGTCAGAAAGATGAACAAGTGAGTCCTAGATCAAAGCGAGGCAAGCTTTCTCCAGAAGCAAAAATAACAGTGCAGAGGCCTTCAGGCACACCATGAGAAGGCAAGACTCACTGGAGAAGACAATCATGCTAGGGAACATTAAAGACAGAAGAAGAAAGGAAGAAGTTATTTAATCACACTCTTCCAAGACATGACTAATTGTCATGTAAATATAAATAAGCACCATAAACTTAAGGATAATATGCATTTTTTTATTTTGTGGATTTATACTTCTAATTTCATGGTGCTCCCACCTTTGTTTTCTCTTTCATTTCTTTCTCTCTCCTCACTTTCTCCCTGGTTATTCATACTACTATTTATTACCCAATATTTTCAAGAGTTTTATCTTTCAATTTTATCTTTTTATATTTCAAGAAGGCAGTTTGTTCGATAACATAAGCCGAAAGATGTCATGAAACATTTTAAAGAGAAGCATAGGAGGGACAGCAGTATTTCAGCAAGAGTGGAAACTGGCATACTGCATCCCTGTTAAGATGGGTCTCTGCAAGAATATTATGCCAGTGCTCTGGTGTGTGCCCTGTGTTCTAATGCCGTGTGGGTAGGGATGGCAGCAGCCAGTGGAGGTCACTGCCATTTTATTTTCCCAGAATGTCTTGTAACACAGCAGCTTTTGGCATTCTGGGGTGGCTGATGAGAGGACCTCTGTTGCCACACCACTGCAAGGAGAGGCCAAATGTAAAAGAAAGAACATGCACAAAAAAGGAATGTGAATAGTAGAAAAGGAATGTGTTCAACACAAATTAATAAAATCATGTGATTTTAACTATGGAATAATGGAATATATTTTAACCAGGAAAATGGATGGAATAAAACATTAAAAATATTTGCACATTCATGTTAACAGTTCCCCTCATGCATTTAATTATGAAGAGTAGGGTAATTTTTCTCCATTGCTTAAAATGGAGGGGGATTCCTTCCACGCTCCCTTCTGACCTTGCTAGCACGAGCCAACAGAACTACGGATGAGGCAGCAGATTGACCTTGCAGTTTCTCTCACATACCCCAGACTCTGCGTAGGATTTAGGATTGTTCTTCCCGTTAGCAAATTTTAAAAATTCTCTAGGTACAAAGAAAAAATGATGAACTTTGTAACAAGAAGTAAAATTTGTCTGCCTTAGCAAAACATTACAGCAATGTTTAATCCGTGTGGCACAGGCAACAGTTCAGATTACATGAAACTCTAGACTCCCTAGAACTCTTCTAAGCCAATGTGTAAACATTCTGGTTTGTATTTCAAATAAACTCATTTAAAACCTGTTTTTTCAAAGATTCTTTACTGCCCATGTATTCTGTTCTATATTCAAATTACACTAGCTGGAGAACATTAAAGGCTGGTGCATTTTGATGTGCAGGTATGCCATTGCTGAGGATTCTGCATGTGCAATATCAGAGATACTCCAGTGTGAAGGTACACCAGTGTATCTTAGCTACTAAACTCTATTGCCAATGGACAGGCAAAATGGGAAACACGGGGGACATGTTGGAAGAGCAAGAGGTTTAGTCTGTATCCTAAACTCTTGCAGACCCCACTCCAGAGCCCTGTGCTATGTGTGATAGAAGTTAAAACCCTCTCACTAAACCTGGTGGAGAGAGAAAATATACCCTCCTGTTTTCTGTTGATACCTTGGCCTGTAACCAATCTTGGCACACCCACCATAGGATTAAAAACCCCATCATCATCATCATGTGGCATGTAGTTATATTTCCCTGTCCTTGTGTTGTGCACTTGGAGCATAGAAGGGAAATAGGAAAGCAGAAAATACAGATAAAGGACTCTGTGCACAAATAGACTGTCTGCAGTACAGTCTTAGGAAGGAACTGCTAACAGTTTTGTTCTCAAAGATGTAATGAGGATTCTGCTTTAGCTCTCTGCAAATAACTTACAGTTTCTTCCAACTAGGGCTACAAGAACATACTTCTTCACATAAATAAGGTAAGAGGAAGTCATGCTTCAAGGTTTGATTACTGTCAGCATCTCCTATGGCTCTCTACCCCTTCACCAGCACCACTTGCAATATAGAAAAATTGTTTTGGCTACCAGGGCAAGGCAGTGTGGCCTACAACTTCCATTAAACTTAGCTAGAATAGCCAATGGTGAGGGATCATGGGAGCCGTAAGCCAAAACAACTAGAAAAGCACAAGCTGCCCAGTCTTGCACTAATATGTATTGGCTAAGTAATCTGCCTGCCTTCTCTTAACAACTGTCTCCTACAAGAAGGTATACAAGATAGTATACATTGTTCAAGAAAAGAAAAAAAAGGTGGGTCCTAAATGCCAAATCTTTTCCTTTCCAACCATCATTAGTGCTAGCCAAATGCCCATAATCTATTTTGACTTGCAGGAAGACACCTTGGCTACATGAGAAAACACCCACTATGCTGAAACTTTTTCTTCAGCTCCCCACAGTGAAGGGATACAGATTGGTCTGGTTCAGGTGACACAACAGCCCGCCATTAACCCTTGGGGCACTGTGGTGCCTGCTAGGTTTGCCACTGAAAGTACTGATCCTGGCTATTGTATTCTGTATGACTATTGTGTTCACTAATATAATATAGCTGTTACCTTGTCAGATCCATATGATTGCCAAGCCCTACACTGATGTAATGGAAGTAGATCAATGTGAATAACTGGTGTAACATTTTCCTTTTACAAAATGAATATTTAATCCTGAGAATTTATTGTTGCATGTACTAGACGAGCCTTATAAAATATACAGTTGAATTGCTAAATGTTAAGCAGAGGCAATGTACAACTTTGAAGTTTAAGAATTTTTCCTTGACTGTCCATTTATTTATTTATTTATTTATTTATTTATTTTGATGGCATTTGTATCCCACTTTTTCACCATGCAAGTTGCCCTGAAACTACAATCAATAAAATTAGATAATAGAAATAAATATGTCATCCATCAATTTAAAAAATAATTGGTAAACACATACGTTGTTAGCAACCAGAGCCTAAAAATCCAAATATGGAATCATTAAACATTAAAAAGACTGCCTTCAGAGGAATGAGAAGGAAGAAGGCAAAGGGATCTCCAAGGGAAGGGATTTCTACCAATCTCTTGCAAAGATCTCAGCAGACAGGCAGTCTCATGTGGCAGCAGACAGTCCTCTAATTACCTTGAACCTAATTACCCATAAAACAATTTGTGACCTAAAACTGGATCTAGAAACAAATCAAGTGACAGTGATGACTGACTGAACATTTCTAAAGACATCAAATAGTTTATGACACATCGGGACATTAGATGATGAAAACTGGTAGCAGACCAACATATTTAATAACAGACAAAATATTTTTGACTGTTTCTCTAATAGAAGACAAGAGCTTGCAATTTAAAATAAAGGCATTTAAACATGACTTTAGATTAAAAATACACCTGTCTCTAGTTTCTAAAAAGTACATCTGTGTTTAGTTTCTAAAGAGGCAGGGGAATGGCCAGATGATTTCAAACAATGTGTCTCAAACATTGCATTCAATGTGTGTTTGTTTTCCTGCTTATTTAATGACTTACCTAAAATACTTTCCTATATGTTCAAAATGGCTTATACAAGATTTGTGGGAAAGAGTGTCTGCATTGCTCCCTTCCTATACCACTATATTAATCCAGAAAGCCCAAGCTGGATATGAAGAGAGATACTAGCTGGTAACCCTCTTTCTTGTCATTTCCCAGTTACAGCAAGCAGTGCATTGGTGAAGCCTCCATGGAGAAGCCCCTTGCACTGGACAGATGACATTCAAAGGAAGGATCATGTCTCTCTCCCCAACCATCCTGTGTTCTGCAATATTGCAAAGCTGTGGAGTATGTATAAGATCCTGGGATTCTTGAATCATGTAGTTTATTCCAGTTTACAGAAAGGTGCTGGAGTTTTCTACGGTAGCCAATTGCAGATATTCCAGAGTGCCTTTGCGGCTAGCTACACGGGAAATCCCTCGCACCTGGAACTCTTCTGCTGGTCTTTTCTGCAGAGACTGTATTATCATCTCAGCAAAATCAGCCTGCAAACGCTGTTGATTCTCCCTGGAAAGAACAAGAGAGAAAAACTTTCAATTACTTAGAACAGTTTCAATGATTTTTCCTCCTACTATGATTCTTAATCATAAGTCCTTTTAAATTTATTCCATTCAATTTAATACTCCTTTAAAATCCATAATCTAATATTAAGGGACAAGTATATATTGCATTGGCATGCTATTTTTGGAGTTCTGTGTAGAGAATATGCCAGATCAGGAGCTCTGCGGGGCCCCAACTCACATGATACATTCAAGGGTGGCCAACTTGCACAACAGTTGCACTACCTCAGTTTCTTTAAACTTAAGCTCTGAGCAGGAAGGTTCCAAAGATTCTAGGATAATTACACACCAGCATAGAGGCAACTGGCAACTACAACATATTTCTTCATCACTGCAAGGCAAGCTCATCCTATCCTCCCTTTTCTTACTACAAGTTTATGCATGAAGCAGCCTTTGCACATGAGAGAGAGTTCCTCCTGAGCTTATAGAATCAAAAAAATATGAATCAAGGACTATATACATTTGGGATCAGGGAGTAGTTAAAAATTGATCAACAAGTGGCAAGCAAAGTCAGGCAAACAGCATCACATTAAAAAGAAAGATTGCAATGCCAGGAGATTTCCATAGCCTTCCTGCCACTAGGGTAGAAGTGAGCAAGGCTGTTTGCTGTTCTTCCTGTGGCTTTTGTTTTGCTATTTCCCTCCTTTTCATTGCTCCCTGTGGGAGGAAAATCTTTTGCACCAGAGCCAGGGCTGGCCAAACTGTTCGCCTGTGTTGCTTGCATGGTCAGGAGCCGGGAGAGCTTTGGATTCAGAGCCTCCCCTGCTTCAGCCACTACACCCTCAAGCCTTCTCTTTTCCTTCCAGTATCAGAGCTCTGATGCTGAATTGGGTCTTCTCCTCAGAAATCAGAACTCTGTGTCTAATCTTGGACTGAGGTTTCAGTCTGTCTCTTGAGGCCTGGGATGATTCCCAGGAACCCACAAGATTGGACATTTAGACATGTAGCAATCTAAACAGCATCTAGATTCCTGTACTAATCATATCAAGCATGTGAGAGCCAGCTTGAATTTCATAATGCACTACTGAATTTCATAATTTTGTGGACCAGGACTGTAAATGGGGTACTGGAAGAATTGGATCCTCCAAACAGGCATGACCATGTTGGCCTGGGCACATCTCTGGGTCAGAATCTGACTACTCAGGTTTGCCATGTACACCATGTAGTTTTGACACTTTCACAGGGAGTACAAGGCAAGTAGGGAACTGAGAAGTAAATGAGTACCACTAGTTAGCATAATGGCAGGCTCTTTCCTCGCAGAGATTTATGTGGGATCTTCTGTATGGGAGATGGGAACAAGAGCAAAATAGCATGTGAGCCATTTTGACAGACAAAAGTTCAATATTCCCAGGTAAATGGATCTAGGATTGCAGCCTTATATAAGGTAGATAGTAAAAGATGTTGTAGAGTACTACTGTACTCTTATTTCCAGTTTTTCAGAAAGCTTCTCTCCTTCTTCCCTTACTGTCATGGCTGGTCCAATTCTGCTCATAGGTTTCTGTGTAAGGAAGGTCTTCTCTCTGCTTTTGATAGAGAAATGAACCATAGTCTATTTTATATTTCATGAGCGTGAAACCTGACTACTCCTCCTTACAGGATCTGGTGGCTACATTTTGGTGGGGCTTGGTTTGGTATAGAAAGTTGGATCACCTCTCAGCACCCAATGCAAGTCTGAGCCTTGGACATAGCCTACAAGGAAGCTGCAGGAAAGTCCAACCACAAGATCAGAATCACAAAGAGGTGTCTCTGTCATGCTCATTTAGAGAATTTTTCCTGCTAACATTACCCTATATTCCCTATTGGATAGTATTAGGAGAAGAGGTTCCTCACAATGACCAGACTGGCTTTATTAGTCTAGCAGTATCTGTCTTTTCAGGCTCGGGGCTCAACGTTAATTCTAATGTAACAAGATCTATAGTCATCCATTTAAGAGAGAGAGAGATGCCCACTGTTCTCTTTCTCTCTCTTTTTCGCCTAATGCCTCCTATTTTTATTATTTAAAAAAAGAAACCTTGAAAAATTAAAATGGCAGTGATGTTACTGATGTAATCCAGCTTAAGTCAGGATGGGTCCTAACTCACTGGTGTTCAAGTCTGTGAGGAGGCGCAGGCTGTTCATACCAGAAGTTAAAAGTGACCAATCAATGGAAAGCTAAGCTGTTCGTATTGGTAAACAAGTGACGCTGACAAAACATGGGTAGGCTTAATATCATTTAATGAAATGTTTCAGCTTCTGCTTTTATCAATAACATTGTTGGTTTTCAAACTAGGGACACTGCCTCTTTCAAAAGCTGAATGACTGGAAAGACGTATTAAATTAAACAAAGTGGAAGTCATCTGGAAGTCCAGCTCTGTAATATATGCCATGGAATGCAAGCAGACTGAATGCCCCATAGCATATGTTGAGAAAACAAATACAGCCTTTCCTACCTGTTTCAGAAATCACAAGTCAGCAGTCACAACAAAGAAACTTGAACAACCTGTTGCATCTTAATTGAAATAACTACAGCCTTTCAGACTTGGGAATATTTCCACTGGAAAACTGCCCAATTCTACAGTACTTGAAGGAAGAGAAAACTTCTGTATAGACTGAACACCCAAACCACTTCATGGCCTGACCTAGGAGGGAAATTTTTTAACTGTTTCCCTATTAGGTTGATTAATTGATTAATCAATTAATTGATTGAAATATTCATGGGTCTCTCAGGTATCCTGGCACCAAATTGTTTAGGGAGTTCTATCTAAGAACCAGGACCTTGAACTGAGCCTGGAGAAGACTCCAAGCCAGCACAACTGATGTAGGACAAATATAATATATGTCTATAAGATGCCACAAGAAAGCAATTTGGTTGCAGCATTTTACACCGGCAGCACTTTCCAAACACCCTTAAGTGGCTACCCCACATAAAGCATATTGCAATAGTCTAAACAGGAAATGACTCAGGTATGTATCCTGGCAGACAGATCTGTCTTTTCTAAGAAGAGGCACAACTGGCACGAGTCAAAACTGATCAAAAGCACCCTGACATTTGCTACCACCTGAACATCCAGGAGCAAAACTGGATCCAAGGGCACACACACCCAAGTTAAGCCTCTGCTCCTTCAGAGGAAGTACAACCCCATATGGAACAGACTGTACTCCTCATCCCAGATCAGACCTACTATCTTGTTAGAACTGAACTTCAACTTTTTAGCCCATAGCCAATTCATTACAACATCCAGACAACAGCTCAGGATTTTCACAGGTGCTTTGGCATTAGTTGAGAGAGAGAGAGAGAGAGAGAGAGAGAGAGAGAGAGAGAGAGAGAGAAACTTAATTCTGAATGTCTAGCAGCATTACGTAAAGGCTAAAGAGCAAAGGGGGTCAAAACAGAACGCTGATGAAACCCACAGGTCCAAGGGCCAGGCAATAATCTCTCCACACTTCCTTTTTGGAATATTCAACTACATAGGACCAGTCCCACTGCAAAGCTGTCTTTGTAAATCCCTTATTAGCTAAATATCACAGAAGGATATAACTTGATGGTATCAAAAGATTCCAAGAGATCTAGAAGAATGAACAGGTATACATTCCAAAGGATGTAAATAATTTCTTTCATCCAAGAAAATTTAGAGCTCTGTTGCCACCATTGCTCTACGATCTTGCTCAAAAGATGAAGATATCAGACTAGCTAATAAGTACCTATGATATTGGGTTCTTGCTATAGCTTCTTCAAGAAAGGTTTTGTGATGATGTCTTTCAGAGAAATAGGAACAAAACCCTCCATTAAAAAGCATTTATAATCTCACTGTCCAAATTTGCCAGTTCTCCTCTTGCAGCATTTAGATTTAAGCAGGCAGTGATTTCACCACTATATTAAAAAATATCCTGACCGCAAGATGAACTTCAAGATGAAACTCATCTGTTAAAACTGGACAAGCAGATGTCTCAATCACTGCCAAAAAAAATGTTCTTAATGAGAAATCCACTTAAGGGCAGGTGCATGCAATTTTATCAATGAAATATATTGCAAACTTGTTACAGCAGATGACCAAAGGCTACTTTCACTATTCTGGGGTTTGGATTCTAACTGACCTGCAACAATGCTGTGAGTGAGCACTGTGCTTACAAGACGGTGCCAGAGAAGTACAATCACCACCACAGAGCAGGCCTTAACATGGGCACTAACCCATGTTCATCTGTATTTATCTAGAGATTTCCTGCACCATCTTTCCAGCCATCTGTGGTTCATTGCTCTGAGCTCCTCAGAAATCCAAAGAACACAAGGTCTATGCAATGAGAGTGATCTTACAAGTGATCATGCCAACTGTTTTGGTTGTCAGATTTCAGAAATCAACCAGAACTTCAAAACCTTACCTAGCCTCAAGAAAATCTCAAAAATCCCACCCAAGAGTCCTTCTGGATTGGGAAGGGGGAGGGGGACAGGACACACACACACAACCATTTTAATAGGAACCTATCCCTACAGAGCCCCAGCAAATTTAAATGCTATCACTTTTTAAACCTCATTTGCATGTATATAGCAGCTGTTAATTGTTCCTTCTCTCTATCCTCAGTGTTTTTAAAACTATCAAAACGTTTAAAATCCTGCTCTGCATATCAGTGATGAAAACAAAAGCTAAAATATTTAACTAAATAAATGATTCCTCAGTCACTTATTTACATATACATTTGTATGATTGCCATACAATTCTGCCAGAATTCAGGGCCTATTTAGATATAAAACTATTTAGTTCTAATACAGAAAAATCCTTCCCGACCTGGCTACCCAACCCGCTTGGTGGGCAATCATTCTCCAACTCCCCCCTACCACCACCACCACCCATCTCTGAGGCAAGCCTTCTTTCACCTCTCTCATTCTCTCCACCTTCCCTCTCATCTCTCTTGTCACCGCCTTCTTTCTTTTCCCCCTCTTCTGCTACTCTCCTTTCTATTTGTCTATATGTGGGGGATGACACAGATTTCCCATCTGAACTGGTGGAAGGAACAGCAAGGCTGTCCAGTTGGTACGACCTGTCAGTAGAACAATGGGACAGTTTGCTAGTGCTGCAGGATAAGGATCGTCTCTTCAGTTTCCCTGGGTACCAAGACATGCTTGCCTATTCCTGTAAGACTCAAGAGATCACTCCTGCCCTCTTTCATCCCTGATATTTGCACTGTTCATGGTGAGGTTTTCCTGACAGAAGAAAAACACAGCAGAAGATAGATGATATTTTATAGGTGCATGTTTTGGTAGAGTATACTCGTATATGTCTTTGTCTGTCTGTTTACCTTGCTTTCAAAGGCAAATTTAAATTAAAAAAACTTAACCGTAAGCACTCCAGAGATTCTTGCGCCTCAAGAAACATTTCAAGTGGGTATGTAGGGATGTAACATTTTCTTTGATAGGAGCATGCTCAATAATATAATCACAGAAAGATAAAATAAAGGTTAAACAGTGGCATTAGCTATCGCGAATACCAATGACCTAGGTCAAAGAAGCTTACACAGAAGGTGGTGTTGGAAGGTTATGCTTCTGGTCCTTCATGCCTGTCAGCCAGTAAGTAAGTTCAGTTCCTTTGCCCTGTTGTGAAAAAACAGAATAATAAATCTAAGACAGCAACAGAGATTATATTACAGTGCAGTATGATTTCTCTTCTTCATATGTTGCTATATTCTACTGTCTATGTATAATTTTATCAGCATTTAGCACATAAGTGGCTTTGCTAAACAGAAACGAATACAAACATTTCTGTATCAAAAGCTGAGATTAGCAAACAGAGGGTAGATTCCAGTGAAATCAACATGACTCTATAGATATAGATTAGATTTTTTTTTTTTTAAATCATAGTACAGTGGTTAGAGTGTTGCAGCTGAATGCAGAAATCATAAAACCCAAGGTCAGGTCCCAACCCAGTCTTGAAACTCACTGCCTCACCCTGGCAAATTCTTTTGTCCTCAACCTGTAATTTAAAATGCATGAACCTCCCGGATATGTAATAGTACCAGACCTATCTTTTTACATTTTGAATATGAATATGAACGTGTGATGTGTGTGTTACCTTCAGATATGTCTCTCCTCGCTCTTCATACTGGAATTGACAGTCTGTCCTTTTGAAAATAGCTATAGTGGAACCACTTACATGTATTCGTAGAGCTACATGCAGGATAACAAGAAACAGATGTGGAGTTTTAATTTAGATTTGTGCTACTCTGTGTTATGACTGATGTATAGCTGCATTTCTGGTAGTGAAAATGCTAGGATTCAGATGTCTCAAAAATATACTTGGCTTAGAAATAACATTTCCAAATAGAACATAACTACTGAGATTACAGTTCTCAAGTCACTTAATCTTGCTGATTTCAAAGAGAGAGATTGTCCTGAAGATTGTCCTGAAAATTCTTGAGGTGGCTTTGCAAATAGTAGTCAGAAGGAAGGATAGAGCAAAACAGCAAATAAAGCTTTTTTAATATAATGTAGTTGTGCAACTGTTTATTGATTACATCTTTATTCTATGCTTCCTTCTAAGAATCTCAGGGTACCATGCACAATACCTCTGCCCTATTTATCAAACAGCAACACAACACACACAACACATATGTGGTGCAGCAAAAAGCAAAACGAGCCATTTTGGTCATAAGAAAAAAATCCTTATAAGTGTAATGTCTTTGTAAGGCGAAACCCAAGAACACAAAATAGTGTACAAGCTTTCAGGTATTCAGATCTCATCAGGTGAGATGTTTAAAAAAAAGAGGAGAGGGATGTTGACTTCATTCTGACTTGATTTTAAAGTAATTTTATTTATTATATTTTAATTTGCAGAAGTTCTCCAGGGCAGATTACATAAACCTAAAACACTAAAATGAAATGCCATTCTTTAAAAGCACAGGAAAAACAGTCAAATATATTAAAAACTCTAAAATGTCTTGGAGAAAAGAAAGGTCTTTTTCTGGCATTGAAAAGATAATACTGTAATACTGCAGATAAGCTTCATTTGGGAGGGAACTATTGGAAACTTTCCAGAGAGGTTCAGCTATTGGATGGTATATAATTGAAATGAACAAATAAATCCAAAAATGTGGTGCCACTACTGAGAAGGCCTCTCTCTTCTGGATACGCACCTAATTTAACCAGCTACAGGCACCCAAATGAAACCTTCCAAAGATGAACTACTATAAATTTTCCATATGCAGAGTTTTAAGATGAAACGTATCTTGGATTGCTGTAACACACTCTATGTGAGCTGCCCTTAAAAACGGTCTGGATACTTCAGTTGGTTCAAAACAGAGCTGTCAGACTGCTGACAGGGGCCGGTCACTGTTCTCATATAGCGCCAGTCCTCTGTCAGCTACACTGGCTCCTGCTTGAAGTCCTGGCCCAATTTAAGGTGCTGGTATTGACCTATAAAGCCCTAAACAACTTGGAACCAGGATACCTGAAGGAACGTCTTCTTCCCTATATGCCCTCCCACTCCCTAAGATCTGCAGCAGAGACTCTGCTCCAGGAACCCTCCTTGAAGGAGGTTAGGAGAGTGAATACCCAGAGGGCCTTCTCTGTGGTGGCACCCTGACTGTGGAGTGCACTCACCAGAGAGGTTTGCCTGGCACCAACTTTATATTCTTTTCAGCACCAGGTAAAAACCTTTTCTTTGCCCAACATTTTAAGGTTTAAATAATTTTAATCTGGTTTTATTATATTCTCAGTTGCATTTTGTTTTGATATTGAATTTTTTATTGTTTGTGCAATTATTGCTATTTATATTGTAAGCCATCCTGGGACAATTGGATTGTGTAGGACAAGATAAAAATTTCCTAAATAAATTAAATAAATAAATAAATAAATAAATTGTAGAGGAGGGTGCAAATGTTTGCAGAGAGAAAATGTGACTACTTCAAGCTCACCTAGTCAACTTCTAAGGATTCCCTACAGAAGCCATTTCCCCCAGTGCTTTGCCAAGTCTTCTGCTGCTTTCCTTGAAGGAGGATTAGCATGTCCTTCACGTGAGGTTCCCCCCCACCCCGAGGTTTTCCTCTCTGCCTTTCTGTAATTTCCATTACACATGCAAAGGTGGGGCATAGAGCAAAACTACACTAGATATCCGCGGCAAATAATGGTGGCATTCAGGAAAATAGCTGACTTTCTTGGCCCTAAAAAAGCTGGAAGGTGCCTGGAAAACATGAGAGAGGGACTGAAGGATCATGATGCTGTAAAAGAACCTGCAAAGTTTTAAAAATGAGGTTTTATGAACACACAATACCTCTGTAGAGATGCCCAATACTATGATGATAAAACAGTTCTGTCTGTGGATAAGGAGCTCCTGAATTGACCATACAAAGTATTGCACAGTGCAGAAGTAAATTTGGCCTTACGTAAACCTGTAGATTCCATCCTTGAAGCTGTGTTTACTGTATCTCCAAACAAGCAGTAGCGAGGCATCTTAATCCCAACCACAGCAGCAGCGCACGGACCTGAGCAAAAGGCACAAAGTAGGAATTAAGAGAAGGCCACACCCCACAAGTAATCAAAATTGACTTCACTGTTTAGATCCCCCAACAACAGCCAGACATGTACACATAGATCTGTAGCTTGGGGTAATGCTTCATAAGTCATCTGGCAAAGTAGACTCAAGTCCACAAAAGCCTACACCACAGTAGATGCAGTGGTCTTTAAGATGCCAGAAGTCACTCTGCTAGTTTTCTGCAATAAACTAACAAAATAAATTTATAATTAAACAGCCTCCAAATTAACATGAAATCATTAATGTGACTCATTACTGGTTATTGAAAGGCTTCCTCCGTCCACTTTGTGGGCATGACTGAAGATGCTCATGCGCTTCGTGATTTCAAAACAGATGCAGCCTGTCCATTCCCTGCCACCCACTCGCATGTTCCTCTTCCTCGTTGAGTAAGTCTGGCAGTGCACATTGCAGGAGTCCAGACAAGAGCTCTCCAGAGAGCTGCCACCTAGCGTGCCCACACAGATTCTGACCCTCCACTTTGGTCCTTGGATTCTCCTCTCCTTCTCATGCCCCGTCAGTGTCACTGCTGGTTTTTGTTTTTGTTTCCCCCATCCTTCTGTTGCCCGGCTATGATGTAGAAATGACTGCTTCATAGGGAGGATGAAGAGGAATTTGGAAAATCAAGGGCATGGATAGTATCAGAAATTGCAGGAGATCGCTAGACACATGAACTACATAGACTTTCCTATTATGCCTCACCCCAGAACAGGATTGCAGCTATTGACTCCATGGGTTTATAGAGTAACGTGTTGTCAAAAGTTCCCGTAGGAGGTTGGGAGCAACCTTACAACAGATCAAAGACATTTGCTCAGTCATGAACCCTCAAGGTTCATTCATGTACACCTCATTCTTGTATTCTCTCCCTCCCGGATCTTGTTCTTATGTCTTCTAGACAAGTAGACATACCACAACTTTCCCACATGACACTGTTAACAGCTGTTGTTACTTTCAGTTTCACCACAGCATTGAGTGACAAGTGCCACAGTTTTTCCTTTCCTGCTTTTCCATGATGTAACCTCTAGTAGCATTGTGCTATAGTGGTATATCACAAATAAGTAAGAAACTCCCTTTCTTTTCCCTGTTAGAAATAATACTCCACTTTCACCCACATTTTTAAAAAATGGGAAAGTGGTGAAACTGGAAAATCACAATGTTGTTTAAAAGCTCATAAACAATCATGACTATCATAAGCTCACAATAAATGCCTCATGTGGAAAAGCTTTTAATTTCCTGCAGTAAAAACAATGAAAGGTGCTTTCCAGGTGAGCCTTTGAGTGAGCAATCACCCTGCCTTATTAAAAGAATTTTACAGGGGCTCCAGGCTTTTTTTTTTAACTACTGTATCTAACCCTTCCAAGTTTTTCCGCTGCTTCTTCTTCCTCTTCCTTTTCTACTACGTCGTGTTCTCCTGTCTTTTCTTTCATGCCAGCCAAGAAAAAAAATAAAACAAAACAAAATCCAGGAGCAATAAATGAAACAGCTGCACAGTACAATTTGATGGGTTGCTCTAGAGGTCATCCATCTGAAAGCACCCAAAGAATTTGATGTCACTTTAATGACTAAGGATGCAATCCTATGTTATGCCAACTGGGTCATGCTGGGAGTTGTCAGAACATTTTCTGCCATAAAAGGGCTTCTAGACACACTCCTGCAGCTAGCACTCAGAAGACATTAGGCAGTGATTCCATCTTTCTTCCTTAATCAATTTTCTGCAGTGAAGGAAACTACAGAAGAAACAATAGAAGAACACAGGTAGGTTGTGAACAGAGCACAGCATCTGGACCTCACATAAACTTCCATGAATCATCAGGGGGACAGCACTATAAAAGTCTCACTCGGAAGCAAAATAACATATTATGGCATAAACTTTTCTTGACCAGACTCCACTTTTTCCCATCTATGTACTGTAACTGTAAACCATCAGACATGCATGCACATGATGGAGGTGCAGGGTGGAAGAGGAGTAATTTCCAAGGGGAAGTAATGCAAGAAAAGAAGACATGGTGACAATTGCATAGAAACAAAATACGAGTAGCTGCACTGGCCATTAACTAGGCAGTGTAGGTGACAAGACAGCCTATGCCAGGATGTTTGTGTCATTGGCTACAGTGCCTAGTTAGCAGTTCTCTTGAATTTGTTACCCCTCCGATGTCACAAGACTGTTTTTGTATGTCCTTCTTCCCCTGCAGTATCATTTACTAGTGGGCAGAAGATACAAGGTGAAAATCTTACTCTGACTAGCTTTACTGCTTTCTTTCCCCACTCTTGTTGCCCCAAACCTGTAGTTTTTACTTCTCTCCTCTATTTGCTAAATTCACCATCACCCTCTAATTGAGTTCAAACTAGCATTTGGGCAAGCTATGTTGCAAGAAAAGGTGGAGAAAAGGAGGTGGAGAAAAGGAGGATTCCCAGTTTGAGAAGGGAAATAAATGGAGCATATTAGGAAATCATAGCTTTCTGTATGACTGCTTCTGAAAATGTCGTGACTTGAACAATTCATCAGCCTTTACAAAAACTAGAAAAAAGAGTGTAAAATTATTTTAAATACAATCATGAGAAAGAAAATAATTATACCTATCTATATATATAATATTCAGTCACAGTCATAAGCCATGCTTCAATTTTTACCCTTTAGCTGTTTTACTTCACAGCACTACAACTTGAGCTAAAAAGTAATCAGTCAAATTTCTAAAAGATTCTTCATCCTTTTCTTTCTTCTTTTTAATGTATTGGCAGCATATTTTATGCTAGGCAGCCAGAAATGATGTGGACAGTGAAGAACAGCTTTGATTCAATAACTGTACTAAATTAAGAAAAGGAGCAATAATGGAATCTTAATGTAAGAATCAGAGAAGTGAGTAAAGAAAAACTGTCTTACATAAGGCCTTGTGATAGGCCTTCTGCAGACTTTCTGCTCTTGACGTTAAGTGAAAATTACTAAATCACTTCTCTGCTGAGCCAATTATTGAAACAAACAAAAGCAACAAGATAAATTTTCTTAAGTGCTTGGCCTTGAGTGTGGGAAACCCATTTTAATAATTAATTTTAAAATATACTCTCCAAGGATCATTCCAGAAATAAGTTTTTAGCATGACAAATAGTTGTTATTTATTGTATGCTGTTGAGATATTTTCCCTTGAGGCTGCATTCTGTCACAATTATATATTTTCCAAGCACTGTATGCTCTGTACTTTGTATCTACTAAAATGCAATACATTTTCTGTATAATGTGCCCACTGTTAATTGCAATTGCAGTGAAGAATGTGATTGACACTTATTAGGCATTACATATGAATTCTCCAACATGCTATTACATTACTTTTTTGGCTGTCTTAAAATATGTTTTCTTGTTCATTTTCAATGCTTTTAGAGGCTGATTGCACTATGCAGTTACAAACCTTAACAAGGGTACCCACTCCTGTGCTGTAATGTCTCTAAAGTTTGTGATTATTCTGCTTTTAGTCTATTTTTATTTTTGCAGTTCTCTGAACTCTTCCATTGGCTGGACTATAAACTCCTATGTGGATTATTTTTTTTTAGGGGAGGGGATTAAAATAAAATGCTGAACAGTAGTATGTTATCCAGCCAGGTTCTTTCTAGCCAGGTTCTTTCATCTTAGCCAGGTTCTTTCTACAGTCCATTATATGTGGACTAGAAATAATCATATTATATATGATTGGGAATCTGTAGCACCATCCTACAAACAAAAACTTCACCTGGGGCACATGATTATTGGTTTTTTGAATCTATCTTGAATCTTTCAAAGGACTCAGCAACCAGAGCCCTATTAGATACATAAAGGCAAACATCCACTGTATCAACTCTAGCCAAGAATGCTATTCATGTTTTAATTATTTTTAAAGTCTGTTATATTCTTCTTCCATTATAACTTATATTTCAACAAAGGTAATATCCAAAATGCCCAAGAAACTATGTATAATATCTTACTATGACATGCTTCCACAAACAGTTTATGGTACATTAAACATGAGATTGAGAATCATTGGTTGATTGTTTTTAGTCAGATATTTGATGTATCATCCATACCAGAGTGAATTCCTATACGAATCCATATAGGAAGGCCTGGAAGATGTTGGAGTTCAAAGGAACCCATGAAGCTGAGTATGTCCAGAGCCATCATGGAAATATCCACGGCATGTCTGTTGCCATTCCGCTTTGGTAAGCCACTCACTACCATATATGCATCTCCAATGGTCTCTACCTGTTGAAATATGACCTGAAGTTACTGTCTATATGATAGACAAGCCATTTTCCTCAGATATGGGGAAGGCTTGGGACATCATTCTGTTCTCTTCTATTCCAGCAGATAAGAATGTTACATACTTTTCTATTAATAAATGTTATATAGGTATATGGAGTTCTAAGCAAGCCTATATGGTGGTGATTTTCTCTAAGATGAAGAGCTTCCTTAAACATTTTTAACTGTTAAGGCAAGTAAACCTACTTTACTGCTCTGTTTGCACAATCCTTTTAGCAAGAGAATGCCTCATGGAAAACAGATTATTGCTGTTTCTTAAAGGATTGGTGGTGCTTTCCATTCCTTTTCTCAATCTCGAACTCATTTTATCTAGGCCTGTGTGCTCTCTCCTCAAACCCAATCACCTTGTAAACATCATGATTGTCAAGAATGTGATCAAAGTTCTTGTAGATGTCATTGAGCATGTCCACCACTTCCATAGGGGTGCTGTATTTACAGATGGTTGTAAAACCCACAATATCACTGAAGTAGATGGTGACTTCTTCAAACAGTTCAGGCTTCACCCATCCAGTTTCCTTCAAAGACTTTACCACGGGCCTGTCAAAAGCAAAAATATAAGCATGTGGAAAGAAGCTTCTCTCTTGGAAAGAGTACTTGAAAATGTACTGCTGTGACTGCTGCTTGGTGATTCCATAAGGAAGAGTGTGCTACTACAGTTTCATTCATACTGGTAATGCTAAAGTACAATATCATTGCTTAAAGCACCAACGCTATGGGCAGTCAGTCCCCTTTCAGACATGGTAGAGGTTAGTGGTTAGATCAACGGTAGGCAAACGTTTAAGTGGTGGTCACATCTAACAATTTGGAAATTGATCTGGATGCAATTACAAAATGATTACCACAGGAAGTTACAGCAAGTAATCTCCAAAAGCAGCCTCTGGAGAGGTAGTATCTAAACCCTAAATAACTCATTTCAACCCACAATTTTCAGCACCAACAGATACCTATTTTATAGCAGTCCCCACTGCCTGCAAGAAAATAAATCAGTTCAAAATACTAGAGGATTAGTTTCATCTTGTTGAGTGTCAAAAAAGCTGTTCAGGGATACCATCTGCAGATGTCATGTCACCTACCCTTGGAATAAATCATATACCACATATTCTCTTGAAGACCTCGTACCTTCCAATTGCTTGCATGTAAAGTTTTTGTTTTGTTTTCCTTGTTTGGTTCTGTTGGACTACTCTACTTGATCAGAACTGGAAGCTGGGGCTTGCCATGCTTATTTGCATACTTGCAATCATACAATTCCCTTGGAACATTCATTTCCTGGCAAAAGAGGAATATATTCTGCCCCTTTCCATTCCAGTGTTTGCTGCACCATGGCAGCTGGTACCAAGGGCATGCAAAACTCCTCTGGAATCATGCAGATGCCTGCATCCCAAACCAGCTGGGACCAGGGCTTCATTGCTAGTTCAAACCCACATTCAGGGCCACTTCAGGAAGTGCATGAAGAATCTAGCATAGAACAAACCATGGAGTAGCTTCATGTTCATATAGATGATTCTGTCTCTTTGCTCCTAAAATCAGTCTTTGGAGCCATTCTCTCTCTCTCTCTCTCTCTCTCTCTCTCTCTCTCTCTCTCACACACACACACACACACACACACACACACACACACACACACTGGGGAGGGGGGGCAATGCTGTCTGATGTCCTGGCTACCACATCACTAAAAATCAACCTACCTACCTACCTACCTTCCAAAATTCATGGTGCTAGATATATCTTGAAAGTGTCAGCTAAGATGAACAAGAATTGCAGCATCTTCCCTACAAAAATGCTTAAGATTTGGTGTATTTTTATTTTTAAAAGGACAATGAAGATACATTATGAATAGCGTAGATGCACTATAGGAGTGCATTATCTATGGGAATAACTGCCACAAGATATGGAAATGGCTGTACACTTTGATGACTTAAAAATTATTAGATAACTTAATGTAGGTGAGGCCTATCAAAAGTGAATAACCTTGACAGATAAAAATATACTATGACAAGTAAGGGGAAGAAACATCACTGTTATGTCTTGTTTGTGAGCTTCCAATGGACATCTGTGTGACTTGGTTGCACATCATAAAGGCAGACTGTGGGTTGCTTAATTCATGATTTGTGAAGATGTACCATGGCACTTTCTGTAAATAATGTCTGATCAGCTGGATCAGAGGTTACAAGTACAACATGCAAAGCCAGGCTGGTTATTCTTGGGTTAACTGCCATGCTGTTTAGCCCCTAAACAATCAGGTTCACATGTCATGATACAACCTCCAGAAGTGCAAGCACCTTTTGTACAGTGTGCATCACATCAAATTGTCGGTTAATTAATTAATCCATAATTTATTGGCATGACACATGAACTTGCTTTGTGTGTTGGAGAAAAGCTGGACTAGAGGGATGTTTTATTTAATCCAGCAGGGCAATGTTTTTTGCTTGTGTACTAACATACATTTCACTCTAAGAGACAATCCAGTGCTTCTGTGTGTCCACGCATGTGCGCACATGTGCACACACACACCGCATTATCAGACAGGCACCTGTACTAGAACATAAGCAAGTTCACTCATCCCACTCCTTAGGAACTCTGGATGAAGGAAGGAATAATGAAAAACTCTGTGATGATAGAGGTAGAAGGAAGAAGATGTAAGAAAAGAGAGATGGGCAAGGTGGGGGAAGTATTGGAGGAAGCAGAAGTGGCAGAAATGTGGGAAAGTGAAGGTGGCAAAGACTGTTGCAGAAGCAACATGGAAAGGAAGATCTGCTGAGGGCAGGGAGTCTGCAGGGAAGGGGAGCGATAGCAGCCATTGTGGGGTATTATCTCAACTGGGGGCTGCTGAGGAAACTGGGAATGGAGGAAGGGCTGCTGATAAAGACTTCACAAAAGAATTATGTTCCTGCCTGAAATTTTGGGACTTTGTTTCCTACCTGCCCCCTTGCCATGGCTGCAGCTGCTCTACCTTTTCTTATTTTGTCCTCTGACAACCCCTACATTTTACAAGAGAAGGCTGCTTTCTGACTCAGTTCTTCCTTTCTACACCTCCTCAGTCCACATGCCTTTTCTTTCTCTGTTCTATGAGCAGTACTGTATTGCACTACATAGAGCCCGAAGTGGGAGGGGAAAAAGGAAGAGGGATGATTAGGCCCGGCTCGGCTAGGAACAGCATTCTATCCTATTCTTATATTACAAATAACCCTTCCTCTAACATTGCTGAGTTACATGCGAGTTATATCCCTGCAACCATGAACATTTGAAATTGCCCAAGTACAGGTAAATTTAACAAAAGTATTTGAAAAAAGCTCAGAATGAACACTTCAATTTTTTTTTTTTTAAAATGTGCCCATTTTGTGTGTTAAAAATGCTTGGCATCCATGGGTAGCCCCTCCAACGTGCCAGTGGGGCACTTCGACAGAAATGCTCATAGCTGTCATAACCAAGATCATGAAAGCCAGCCTAGCCATAGACTTTCACTATCTCCTGGAAGCAAAATGTTCAAAGGGAGGAAAGCTGTGGGAAGCCCGAAGGCAGTGAGGGGTATAAGCCAGTACCAGCTGCCACTAGGTGCCTCCTGGGCACTTTGGGGCATGTAGCACTGGCAATCACCTGGAAGCCCCATGGCAAAAGCAGCAAGGGTATTCTGATGCTCCTCCCATGGGGCTCTGTAGCCAATCCCCCTTACCCATAATGGAGCCAGTTGCCTAAGGCCAAGTAATATGGCAACCCCACTTAGTTAGCATGATGGGTTGTTGTGTTGTGCAAACCCAATCAAAGTGTAACTTTCAGGTTGTACATGATTCTTTTCCACATGTCATATTTGAATGCTACATCAGCTAGAACAGCAAAACAAAAGTTTGAGCTTCTAGAGCTGAACTAGACAGAGAGCTGAGTTGCACATTGTGTAAGGAACTATATCCAGACTAAGAATGTTTAGTCTTCAGATGTAGCACGCCCACATGCTCTTTCCTGGCACACACCTATGATTTAGGAGAAGACTGCTTTAACAAATTCTAGACAATTAATTTTAATATTAATAGCATTTGAACAGGTCAGGCTATCAGATGAGTCTGTATGAAATACAAAGAGGTGTAAAAAGTGTTAACTTTTTGCAAGAAATTTTTAAATATTAGAAAACAAACATGAATCACAGCCATGACATTTCATGAAATTCTTGAGAGAGCAGAACCTTTTCCTCTATGGAGTAAGTCCTAGTATGAAATATGATGGATCCAACATCCACTGTTAGTAATATACATTCCATACCCCTACACTCTTCTGCTTCATGAATGAAGTAATTTTGGAAGAGTGATTCAGGATTTTTTAATGCATTGAGTTTTAGACAATATAGAAAGATGGGTGCATATCTGTGTATATGTGCTTGTGTAGAGTTTTAATATAAATATATTCTCAAGTAGACTAGAAAGTGCTTAAAATCTAGACATGTAAATTTACTGGCTCCTGATGGATGGCACTCACCGTGGGAGAAGCATGAAGTTAAGCCTGTCAGCTCGGTCCCGCTCTGCTTTGTACAGCTCGGTCCTCTCTTCCACCAAACGCTCCAGGTTTCGTGAATACAGCTGCAGGCGTCGAATTAAGGTGTCCATGTAGTTTTCATTGGTTTGGCTGTGGTAGGCGCTGGGAACATTGTGAGGAAAGGATGGATTTTAGGACATACGGCAAAAAAGAAGTTAGTGAAAATCCTCTAATCCAGTCAGTGTATGGTTGAACTGGAAACCCCCAACGCTCTCCCTCTAAGTCTCAACGATGATTGCGGCTCGGCAGAAGTGGCTTGCTAAGAAAGGGTGCAGTTGCTGTGGCTAAGTCTGAAAATGAAAATTATTGTAATCTCAATATCGGAGGATATATAGACACAAATTAATGTAAAGTATCCGTTCCTCTACATTCCAACAAGGTTTTTGCATCCTTTATATTTATATCCCAGTGGCACTTATTTGCTTTTTTTAGCCTCATTCTTCTGTTCATCTTGCTTGTATCACCAAAATCTATGAGTATTTAAAAATAAAAGCAAAAAACCTTTCCATTCTTTCAAGGGACTCAAAGGAATGAACATGTTTCCCTCTGTATTCTAGATTAACCACTACTTTAATTTTCATCCCTTTCTTATTCACCCCCCCACACACACACACACTTTGTATCAAATGGTGATAAAAGGTCTTGGTTTCAGCAAAATTTCATTTTCCCATGTGCTGAACCATTTTGACATGAAGACACATAGATGCTTGCTTTCAACCAAGGTTATTTATTTTCTTACCCAAATATCTTAGCTAGGGTAATTTCAATTTTCTTAAAATCTGGTCGCTTTTCTGGATCTTCCTCCCAACAACTTTTTACAAGAAGGTACACCTAGGAATACACAACATTCAAAAATTAGCTCAGAATCTCAGATACTCGTAACATTCTCCAAAATCTCTCTCTCTGTATATATATTTATATATAATCCTCTTATCTATACATACTTTCATCACCTTATCTGTATAAAGTCAGCATCTTTTGCTTTTTATAAATTTTATTCCATTTATCTGATCAAAGACCACTGCCATAATACTTTCACAATATGGCTTTAGAGGCCATTATTAAAACACAGATTTACATTTAGTTTCCCTTTTCTTGGTTTGAAGCTACACTCCATTCCCCCACTCTCCCCAGACACAACATGGAATACCCACTCTAAACTATTAAAATGACCATGAGCTACAATGGTACATTTGTTTTAGAGTGCACACAATTAAATATATTTGGGGAACAATCTTATGCATGTTTAGACAAAAAACAGTTCTACAACTGTCAGTATTTTCCAGCCAGCCATGACATCCGTAGGATTTTTCTACCTAAAGAGGCACAGGTTTTCACCCTTCACTGCAGGGCATTGGTGCTGTGAAGGGGAGATCTGGTGCACATGCAAAATACTAGAACTAAAATGTGGGTATTCTCCTACCTGTCAGACTCACTCGTCTTGATACTTGTACTGATAATTACTGGGTACATAGTACATGAAAGCCCATCACGGGCTACCACCCATGATGATTTGTCATCTTGTGCAAAGCCAAACCCTGTCACACAGCACAGCTCATTTGAAGGCAACAAGCCATTGTACCGACCCATGCATTGTGCTTAGAGGCTGTTGTATCCATGACAGCCAACCACCCCGGCATGGGTGCAGGGAATGGGCTAGCAACTTCTCTGGCAAGAGCAGCAGAATCCCCTTGCCACTCCCGCCGAGCATGCCCTAGTCCTGAAGCAGCCCTTCAATGCAGCTCTCATTGGCTGCTCCCACTCCCTGCCATGACTGCAAGCCATCCGGATCTCATTACTTTTTCTCTGCGTACAGATGGCTTTTTTCAATCCCTCTTTTGAGATCTGTGGACAAGACCCTTCAAAGTGCCCCAAGAAGTGCTGCCTGCAGTTGTAAACCTAATTTTGCCCCATCTGATCTTCACAAATATTTGCAAACATTATTTCTTTCATTTTCTTTCTATCCGCACTTATGCATTGGCCTCTTCAGGGGTGGGAGGGGGGAGATACTGCAGAGGGTGTCTAGCAGGCACCCACCCTGGACTGCCAAAATGTGAGTTGCAAATTGGAACCAAAGGTGCAGGGAGGTGCCCTATCCCGCCCCCGCAACAAAACACATGAGGCTTTTTGTGTGTGTATCTTTGAGGGTTGGGTTGGACTCATGCGTCCTAGTAGTGCTCTCACTTTTGCAGTTGTTCCCAAGATTTTATCAGCTCAAGAGTGAATCACTCTATTTATGGGAGGAGTTAGTTCAGAGAACTGTCAAAGGTAAAGCCCCATTTTACAAGTGGAATTTAGAAAGTATTAATGAAAGGTTTTTGGCAGGAAACTGTGCAGGTATCTACAGGCTGTGTTATGCAATAGAGAGCGAGAAAGTCAAGTCAGTGCTCCTGCAGTTTCCCCTAAGATGCCGTGGGAGGACTGAGGAGGAGGAAGGAGGGGTCAGCAGCACACTGGGTTTGCTCAACAACAAGTCCACCCTGGCTTAGTGGCAGGGTGGGTTGGCATGGCATGCAAATACACTCAATGACTTTCTGTTCAATATGGACTTACTTCTTGTTCTTTCTCCCCTTCTGTTACCAGTAAAAGATCTGGCCTGAATGGTCTTGCTCTGTCACTGCTTTCTACTCTGCAAAGTTTTTCTGAATCAAGAGATAAACAGTGCAGCATTTAAACACACTTCTGCATGTAAAAACAACAATATTCCAGATATAGAACTTCTCTTAGGAAGTAGAACGTGTCAAGGCAGTATTTTATAAGTAGTAGGGCATGGTGTAAAATTATGCAAATTGTTATGAAAAGAACAATTCCCTTTACAAGTATTTTGGGTTTTGCCTGTGTTTGCCTATGGCTTTGCCAATATTTACCAGCAGAAGGAGTGCTGATTTAAATTGGGAAAATAGCATGTGAGAGAGGGTAATCCACCCTCTGCAGCTCTCCTGCTTTGATCAAATTTGGAGATATTCAACTTCATTTAAGGAAAAGCAAAATTGTTGGGGGAACCAGCCACAGATGCCCAGCAAAAGTGTACGACATCCACAAGTCTAGCAAAGTATTTTAGAGCAACCACAGATTCTTTTTGCAACAGAACAAAAACAGCATATAAATAAAATAAAAGCCTTCAAGTGATGACCAGGCAATGTAACACTAACATTGCTGCTTGCCTCTTCTTTTGCACTAATTGGGTCCCTTTTAGCTTTTAGCTGTTCTGTGTCACCATTAAAGTGTTAGACTCTGATTATTTTGAAAACTGACTTGATCTTACACAAACTAAATGCCTTGCTTCAGCAAAATATATGAATTGCAAAGAAAGATGCATAACTGAAAAGGGGGCCCTGCTTCTACATGCCTGTAACTGTGCCTTTGTTTTTACGGCTGTGTTATAATCAGATGGCTGTTTTTATGTATTGGAACTAGCAGCATATGATATCATTCATAGAATGAGAATCCATGTGTTTTTAAAAGACCTTTGTCATTCTGAAACAAACAGCCCATTCTAATTCTTAGAGAAATTTGATGAAATTTGATGAAACTTTAGTTCTCTCTCCCCTTTTTCCTTTATCGCTGGGTTACGAAACAGCATAATCAAAGTAACAGTCTCTTTGAGATGTGTGAGTGTTTCTGCTCAAGTGAAGAGTTGGATCCAAACCGACATGTGCCCTCCTCCTTTCTCTTTGAGAAAGATCCTGACTGCACCCTCTGCTTGAGAGCTACATGGCAGGAATGGCAGACAGACCTAACTGGTCTGCTCACTTTGTCCATCACCTCCCTACAGGGTCAAGGAACTCCCACTCAGTCTTCACCCCTCCCTGTTCTGAAAAGTCACCCTCATTTTCCAAAGTTGCTTGGTTTTCACATTCTGTCTGAATATCTTCACTTTGTAACCTCGGAACTGCAAAGTAATCTACCAACCCCTGCCCCTCCATCTCCTCCTCTGCATCCGAAGAATCCATCTGTAGCTTGAGAGAGGTGAGTCCCATCTCTACAGATACCTGGAAATACTATATCTGCCCTATGCCCCTTATATAAAAGACTGGGGTCCCCAGCCTTTTTTGGCACAATGACATATTTGGAATTCTGGAAGCCTGTCCTGGCTGCCAACACAAAATGGTAGCTGGAAGGAAAGCCCATCACAAAATGGGAGCCCCCTCCCACACTCTCTGTGGACACTTTCGATCTCCCTGCTTTCTCTCTGGCTGTTCTCTCTCAGTTTCTCACATTCTCTCTCTTTCTGGGGGCTAATAATCCATGGTAAGCCTGATTGGGCACACTGTGGGTTGTTCAGACAACAACAGCCCACTGTTGCTTATTGATTGTTGTGACCTGTGAATGTCCCCAGAGAAACTGAGATTTACCTTGCTATTTTGTCACACTATAAAGTAATACATTATATAGAAAGAGAAATGTTTGACATAAGCACATTAGGCTGAATTCCTGGTCCTAGCCTGCTGTTTTATAGAGGAAAAACTTAGATTGTAAGCATATTGGAAGGGGCTGTCTCATTTCCAATATCTGTAAGACACTCTGGGAGCCCTGGCTGAAGAATGGGATAAAAACATATTAGATAAAGAAAATATCTACCTCTGGCTTTGGTATGCAATCATATTGTACTCTGATACCTGAACAACTGTAATTCAAATTCACATTGGAGGACAATTTATTTCCCAGTTAAAAATATTGTTTCCAAACTTGGAGAAGGCGGGTGAACAAACAGCAGCAGGGAAAAGGAAGAGGAGGCCTGGTTCAATGGCTTTGGGGGTCCAGAAGTAGGCTTTTTGTTGGGGTATTGCCCATAGCACACACCCAGTGATGCCAACCCGACACCAGTCCTTTGCTCAGAACATTTTTTTGCATGCCACTTGGGGAACCCGTTGAAGGGAGGGATATGAATTTCTTCACCCATCAGTCAATCAGTTTCAACATGTAAGCCAGCATTTCCTTATGCACAATGTTTACCTTTATGATCCCGACAATCGTTACTGTAGAAAGTCTCTTTACGCAGTATGATTTCTTGTGCTATAATCCCATAGCTGTACACATCCCCTTTTTGAGACACATCACCATGGCGAAGGTGTTCAGGAGCTGTCCAGAGATCTGAAGAGCAGGGAAGGGATAAAGTTTGTGTGGGTGAGAGAAGCAAATGAAATTGGTTGACAGATGAGACTTTTCTTCAGTGGTTCATGTAGGATCTACACTGGGTGGACTTCCAGCACTTGCTTTCTTTTAGATATGTCTCTGGTGAAATACCATAATATTCTAAAGCCTCCTTCAGAGGTTTGGACTGCTACTCATGATAGCTATATATTACTTCCGGGATTTATTTTATTTTTATTTATTTAAAGTTTTTATATGCCATCCCAATACTAAAAGTCTCTGGATGGCTCACAAAAAACAAAACAAAAACAAAAAACAAAGCAAATCATAACAACAACATACAACACATTTCATCCATTAAATAATGATAAAAACAAGGATAAAACCAATTAACTGTTTAAAAAATTGGGGAAATAAAAAGGTGTCTTCACCTGACGCCAAAAAGAATGAAGCGACGGTGCCAGGCAAACCTCCCTGGGGAGTGTGTTCCACAGTCAGACCACCACCGCTGAAAAGGCCCTTCTCCGAGTAGCTACCCTCCTAACTTCCTCCAAAGAGTGCTCCCGGGGAAGGACCTCTGCCTCAGGGGGATCAGCGGGATCAGGGGGAAATGCTTTTAGTTACCAGCTGCTGGGGAACAACAACAGGAACAGGCTGTTGCTCCTCCATCCTGCTTGTGGGCTTGTCATAAACATCTGGCTGGCCACTATGGGGACAGACCGCTCAACAGTACAGGTGTCTGGTCTGATCCAGCACACTCCTTATATTCTTTTATGCAGCACCTGCACCAGCTTTATGAGGGCCCTTGGGCACTACACCTTCCCACTTTCAGCAAATCCGCCTTCTCATCCCATGTCACCAGCTGCTGTTGCTCCCCATTCTCAGCATTGCAACCACTTGCTGAGACATGGAGAGGACTGGTGAGCAGTTCTCTTTCTCACCACCACCATTGTCTGAGCCAGAGTGGGAAGCAGGTGAACAAGCAGGACGCAACAGTAAGGGAGAACGTCAAACTCACTGGAAGTTTTTATCAGGGGAAGCATGCTGTGGTGTGGGCCCTTGGTGGGTGCCCAGCCATGCTTATGTTTGGTCCTGGCCCTGCTTTTCAATAAGTTATGCTCTTATGTTAGGATGCTCATAAGTCATAGAAGGACTTCTTCTTCCTTCTCTTTTCTCCTCCTATATTCTTTATTTATTTATTTTATAATGTTAATTTTAATTTTATATTATTGTATCTCAGTGTATTTTTTGTATTTTGTATTTAGTGGTAATTTATTATGTTCTATTGTATTTCAATGTATCTTATTGTGTTGTAAGCCACCCCGAGGCTTCGGCAAGGGGCGGCATAGAAATGTTATAATAATAATAATAATAATAATAATAATAATAATAATAATAAGTTAGTATGTATACAAGGAACACTTGGGGAGAATTGTCTATACATTGACTATATTCTGGTCTTAACATGCATTAAAATCCTATTTCAAACTGAATGTTTGTAATTTAAGGCAAAAAAAAGACTAAAACTGTTCAATGAAAGTCATGTTGTAGCAACCTTTGTGTACCTTATGTGCAGTAATTAGTGAGTATACTAATTCATGTTGCGTGACTGGCATCTTTGATCAAATAGGCTTTGTAAACCTACAAAAACTCTTTGATTAAAGATCAAAAAGCATATATCTCACAAACTGCAGTGTTCTACCCTACCACTTTCAATTATGTAGGAGTTAATAGCGGGGATGGTTATCTGCTTCCAAACATAATCACTGAGAAGCAAGGGCAAATGAATTGCATTTGCTCATGGAACTTCATGATAGCTTTGTATCAATGCTACTTCCAAATATTAATGAAAGGAAACTTAGAATTGTAGGATAGATGCATACTGCAGGGAAAGAGAGAGCATCTTCTAGGGTTTTTGAAGAGCTTAAAAATTATGCTGAACAGGGCTGAATTAGGTTATGGTGGAGCTGTTCTAAGGCCTGAGGAAACAGTAAGATTTGGCTGCCTAAAGTGAGGGATCTGAAGCTAGCCATTGTTCATGGATAGCCATTGTTCATGGCAGAACCAGTAACTTTTCCTGAAGCTATCAGGCAGCTAATTAGTGGCAACTAAATGCAAAGTGGTCCTTTAGCCAAAATAGCAAAAAAGTGATCAATATAATGTTAAGAATACCAAATTAATTAATTTAATTAATTACAGGAATTAACGTATAAAAACCTTATTCAATAACACCTACTGAAAAGGCATTGCTGTCTGAATGACATAATGACAAATGACAATATAGGAAGTTAACATGCTTTCTGCCATAATTTGGTCCTGAGTATATTCTATGACCAACTGCCTGTTATTTTCACTGTTCCTGTTTGTTGCCAAGAACCTTCTCCCATGGTTTCTGTGGCCTCCTCACCATTCTGGTGTCATCCTGGTGGTCCTTCCAAATTTCATGTGAAAACGCCATCAATATAGTACCTTCTTTGGCTTTTTTGAATTTATTTTTTCTCAGCCTATACTGTATTGTTCAAACTTGTTTAGGTGGCTTTTAGAATGTACTTGTATAGAATATGCAAAATGTTCCAGTTATTGTACCCAATCTCTTTCTCTCTTTCTGCTATATACCTTATCATTAGTTCTCATGCAACCTATTATTCCATATAATATGAATGTCAACAGATACTTGGAAACCCCATAAGAGCACTAACACACTCACTACATTTGCATCCATGTACTTAATTATCTGTTATATTTTTTATAACTACATATTTTTAAAAATCCCTAAGCATTTAAAATAACCCCCCAAAATAGTTAATCCCTAACCACTTAATCAGGGAAAGAAGCTCAAGCACACAAAAGGTGCTTTATAGCTTATCAAGGAAGAAGGCAGACATAATACCCTCAACTGGACCCTGTTGTGGACTCTGATGACATCAAACTATTGTCTGATTCCCCAGATGCAATACTGACTTTAATCTGAGATGCAATAGGACTTAGTGGAGGCAATTGCGAAAGGTATTTACAGTTCTGCCAAAAACATGGCATCATATAGAAACAACTGAAGCATAATGGAATATTAGTTTCACACTTAGGCTGTTCTATAAAACATCATCAGTGTACAAATACATGCAGTAGGCATTCCAGAGCTACAAAGGAGAATGAATAGGCCATTCATACTTCTTATCTACCTTTTTTTGGTGGAAGAATAGAATTGTAGCCAAAATCAGTTATCTTCACTACCATACGGTTATCTACAACACAGTTTGTAGATTTCAGGCGCCCATGGACCTCAGTTTTACTTGAATGCAGATAGGACATTCCCTGTAATATAGGGACAGTGATAAAAAGTATTTGCCTGATTTCACAATTATCACTAGCAAGGGTTGGCTGGTCCAAAAAATACAAAATGCAAAGTCTCTCTCTCTCTCTCTCTCTCGCTCTCGCTCTCGCTCTCTCTCACACACACACTAATAAACTAATATGTGGGCAATGCAATGTACATGACATTTCTCTCCAGACCACAGTAAGTGAACAGCAATTGTACAGTTGTTTCATAAAATTGTTAAAGAATATTCCAAATAAAACAGATATTAAAATGAAACATAATAAAATGCCAGCTTTAGTTACAAATGAGAATATGCTACAATGTAGGACAGTATTTTTTGACTTCTCATTTACTGAAGCCTAGATTGAAGGTTATACTGATTGAATGACTGACCCTGGAAAGCAGGCTGGGTGAGTGCCTTGCTGTAGTTTGGGTCAATTTTAGGCATGGCAAAATTCATATTTTGTGTGATTTCAGTGTCGAAAACTGTAGTGTCACTTCATGTAAAAGCCAATGTAAATAAAATGCCCCAGGCTGCCATGGTCTTAAACACATTTCTAAAATACATATTTTTTCACAGACATAGGGTAAGTTTATTTCTTACAGGAAAACATCACGATAAGGTAGCATTTATCATCATTTATCCGTAACTACTTGTCTTGTACGCATAGCCTTCCATTGACATGATGTAACTAAGATTCAGAAATGACAGATAAAATTATGTAGAAATCCATCCTATTTTTAAGATGACCTAAATTACCCTCCCAGTTGTGTTTATAAGAAAGAAAAATGGATAGAGAAATGTTACCTTATGATGTGGGGTTTACCCACCAAAATCACTCGAACTCTATTATTTGTTCAATTATTACAAGACTCAAGATCTATTCTAAAAATATAACCTTCTACTAAAATATTATCATCCTATATGCTGACAGGAAACATTAGAACTGAGAGCATAGGGACCTGCTCAAAGTCTATTGATTGTTGGTTTCACTGAACCCAAATTTGTAAGAGTCAGTGTAGTGTAGTGGTTAAGAGCACAGGACTGGGACTCATATGATCTGGGTTCTAGTTCCAGCTCAGCCATGCAGCCAGCTGGGTGACTTTGAGCCAGTCATGGACTCTCAGCACAACCTACCACACAAGGTTATTGTGGGAATAAGATTGAGAGCAGCAGGAAGAGAATGATGTAAGCTACTGTGAGTTCCTTAGATGAAAAATGTGGGATAAAAATCTAATAAATAAATAAGAAATGGAATTTGATTAGGGTATTGCCCTAATATTAGAACAATGATCCTCAATGTCAGGTATGAGGCTGCTACATGAATTACTGATTGGATTCACCGAGGTTATTGTCTGAGCATGAAGAAAATGCCCAGAAATTCAGATGCTATCAGGGAGAGCACTGGATTCCTAAGAAATGCTCATTGCTAGGATGCATGTTTTTCTGGTTAGTCATCTGGTGACCACCTCTAGAAACTCAGGTTCAGTGGCAAGATCTGCCAAAAATGTTCCGCTAGATGTGATGGACTAACTACTGCATTAGTACTTCATTAAGCAAAATTCAAATATTATTTCTTTGCTACCTCACTATATATTGGTAGTCCTGCTAGCCAAATCACCCAACTCTTTTTGTCCCCAAGTCATTCCGTTAGAACAGTGGTGGTGCACCTACAGCACACGTTGGGCAGCGGCACGCAGAGCCCTCTCTGTCGGCACACGAGCCAAGTCGCCCCAGCAGCCGAGCATCAGATAACAGCGCACACAGGGGCCATGCGCATGCTCGGAAAGGAGTAGCGGCGCCAGGCGATGGCATCACAAGTCGCGACTCACTTGCCACAACTCATCCAAGCTTTTGCATGGCCAGTCATATATATATGACTGCCAAGGAGATATATATATATATTTACACACACACACACACACACACACACACACATATGCTTTGACTGGCTGTGAGGTGTTTTTGCTAAACTAAAACCTCAGTTTTCAGGTTTTATTATAGTGTTGGCACTTTGCGATAAATAAGTGGGTTTTGGGTTGCAATTTGGGCACTCGTTCTCTAAAAGGTTCATCATCACTGGGTTAGGGTTAGAAAAATGAGGTGTCCTGGCATGATTTCGATGGTTGGAATGTGCTTAGAATGGGCAGAAACGTTGAGCTGTGCAGAAAAAGATACTCAAGGAAGGCTTTTTCGAAATCACCCCTTTTAATGGTATTGTAACCCTATATTAGGGTTTGGGGAGTACACCAGGGTAGAGTTAGGCCAATGGTGGCGAATCCATGGCATGCATGCCACAGCGGGCAAGCAGAGCCCTCTCTGTCAGCATGCGAGTCAAGTCACCCCAGCGTCACCCCAGCAGCTGAGCATCAGTTAACAGTGCACATAGGGGCCATGTGCATGCATGGAAAGGAATAGTGGTGCCAGGCGATGATGTCACAAGCCACAACTCATTAGCCACGATTCGTCTGAGCTTTTGCATGACCAGTCAGTGCACTGCCAAGGATATATAAATATATATATATATATATATTTGCTTGGACTGGCTGTGAGTTGTTGCTTTTTTTTAACTAAAACCTCAGTTTTCAGATTTTATTGTAGTGTTGGCACTTTGCAATAAATAAGTGGGTTTTGGGTTGCAGTTTGGACACTTGGCCTCTAAAAGTTTCGCCATCACTGCCTTAGAATGTCCAGTTGTGTTTCCAACTTTTTCCTCTTCATTCTCTACCTCCACAGTCACTCCCTGAATTTGGCACAAGGAGACTAAGTGGACATTAGCAGTAGCATGGGAAGCAAAAGCACCTGAATCATTCAACCACAAGGTCAAATACTTTTCACCACCCTTCCCTTCCCCTCCTGTGTGTGTGTGTGTGTGTGTGAGAGAGAGAGAGAGAGAGAGAGAGGGCTGCTCATTCCTTTGCCACTGGGGAAAATGCCTTGGGTTGTGGTGATAAAGTGAAAGCGGCAAAGAATATTATGCCAATAGGCCAAACAACAGGAAGAACAAGCAAAACTTCCTGTATTTTAGGTGAATTAAAAGAGGAGCAAGATACTTGGAAGTGTGTTCTTGTTTTTCATGACACTCCCTCTCTTCTGGCACTTTACACATGCTGAGAAAGCTGAAGAGCAAGGATTACACCATACACCCACCCACACAAACATCTGAGACAGGAGCTGACATGAGTGAAAGCCATCTCCTATATTAAATGTGGGGAATTCTTCATTTATTTAGCATGCTGGATGCAAACAATAAACAAATTCACTTTTCTCTATATTATGTGCTAGAAAATGGAAGACACTATATCTGTTTTTGCTAACTTGTGGGGGCTTTCAAGACTCTATTTTATCCACTATACTGTTGAGCATCTAGAAGAAGCTACTGTGGGAAGTCATCCAGACTTTTAAGAACTGGGTTTCACCACTTTGCTGATGATATCCAGTTCTATCTTTCTTTGTCAATTGATTCCAAGGAAGCTATGGAAGTCCTGAATCATCATCTGGACACCTCAACGGGTTGGATGTGGGTTGAAACTGAGCCTCAAGAAGACATACTGTTGGTCAGTAGCAAAGTTAATTTAGTACTGGAGGTTCAGCCTGTTCTGAATGGGTTGGAGGTGCCTGAAGGTTCACAGCCTGGGATGCTACCTGGACAGTCAGTCAGTTGCTTTGGCTAGGAACATATTTGGTTAACTTTGGCTGGTACATCAGTTGCATTGCTTTCCACAGAAGGAAGATGTGGCCACAGTGATCCACACCTTAATCACCCCTCCACTTAGATGATTGCAAGGCAGTCCTGTGAAGAAATGCCTGGTATATAAGTGTTGTTATTTGTTTATTCACATACTTATATGTCACATACTTATATGCCACCAAAGTGGCCTCCCTTGTTATGTGATGTTTACTTCATGTGGCCTCTGTGAGGCTACAGCGTATCTGAGCAGACCTGAGGCCTTGCTTTGTCACTGTCAAAGGTATGTTGTTTAGTGATGTTGTGAAAGCAGGGCGAGGGAAGAAACAATCACTTTGAATTCACTCTGAATTGCCTAATTTAGGTAAATTCAATTCTGATTGGTTGTGTATTCCAGTTAGATGAAAAAGAACAGTTGAGAAATGACCATTATCAGCTATTTGTATTATATTGCATTCATATTCTGTCTTTTTTCCCTCTTGTGAGGAGCCCAAGTCAGCTTAAACGGCTCCATTTTACCCCAACAGCAAACCTATTGGTAGGTTAGACTGAGAGGCAGTGACTGGCTCAAAGTCCCTGAGTGAACTTCATGGCTGAGTGAGGACTAAAGCCTGGATCTCTCAGGTCACCAGTCCAACACTCTAACCACCACACCGCACTGGCTGTCTAGTTAGGAGTCCAGGCAGTCTGTGTTTAATGAAAGAGAGAGTGAGAAGATCTGCTGTTTGGTGGCTGGCGTTGCAGTGGGACTAAGAGAAAGCTGAATTGAAAATAAATAGCTTGGGGTCTGGATTCCTCAGCTCAGCTCCCCCAACTCCAGACTGCTTTCTCTCTGCTTTAAGCCCACCTTGCACCAAGTGTTCGTGTGGGCATCTAGCAGGAAGCAAGTTCAAAGAGAGTTCTGTTTCTGCACACACAACTTGTGGGTTTTGCATACTTTGAGCAAAGAATTCTGTAATTTGCATATTTTGTGCAAAGAAATATGTACTTTGTGCTTTACACAAAGAAATCATTAGCATTCCCAAGTGTTTGTAGACTTGATCTCAGCTTGGCTCACTTCCAGGTCAGGCCAAGCATAGGAAAGAAGGCCAGTGAGTGCAAGAGAACTGGATTCACATGGAGCATGGAACAGGCCGTGGAGCATGTTTGGTAAACTAGAGTTCAAGAGGAGTGACCTAATGACCTGGGCTAGCTCTGTGAATGAGATAAGAACTAATTATGAATAATGAATGCTGTAAGGTCTGGCATAACCAGATCAGAAAGAGATTAGATAAAATGACCCTGCAATGATGGCTGTCATTGTCTTGATGGAGCACCATGAGTCACAGGGAAAGCCACCAGCACCTGGAAATCAATAGCAGCCAGCAAACACAGACAAAGAACTTTCTTTCTTTTCACCCATGGAGAACAGACATGGTCACATAGTGAACAGCAATAGAAAAGATCCTCAAGAGCAATCAAGCACCCATCAAGTGATTATCATAAGCAGAAAAAAATGATAGACCTTCCCATTTTGGTAGAAGCAAGTCCAAGGAAAAGAGTATAAGAACCAGACTTAGAAACTGGAAGAGGGCAAGCTCTGAACACCAGCCCAGAATGCAGCCCAGAATGTGGAATATCTCTATTCACCCTTCCTACCCGCTGCAAGGGACTGCTGCTCAAGACAACCCAAAGACAGGCCTCCCTCTCCCTCTGTTAGCTTCTCTTTATCTATAAGGCTACTCGGCAGGAGGTTATGCACCTCTTAGAAATATAGAGTCAGACGAGGATACACCCGCATATATGACATGAGAAATATAAGAGAGGGAAAAAAGTCTGCTGGCACCAGTTCAAATTGTTTTCTCTTTTTGCAGATCCTGTGGTTCATATGTGGGTGTGTGGAATTTCTCTTGATGTGTGTGCAGGGAAATGGGTGGGTGGGAAGGCTTATACTGCTCATACTCAGGCATGGCCTTGATCTTGATTATGTCCACACATTTATTTATTTAACTTGTATCCCACACTAATAGTCTTGGAGGACACATGCTTACAGTAAACAAACCAATGAAGATCATCTGCATGGGATACATTTAACATAATTTAGCCCTGGAAATTATGACTGAAGAATAATGTTCATAGTATCCAGCCTGAGAGAAAGAAAGGGAAAGATCCCTTCACCTAGAAAGCTAAACATTAGGGAGAAGGATTTGAATCTTAGCCTTGTCCCTGATGCCTAGGTTTTCACTGATTTACCACCTGAGTGGGATCTAAACATAAGAAGAGTGAGAAAAGTGTCTGTTGCAAATCAATAAACAGAAGAAGTTAGGAATACATAGGAAAGGGGTGTGCAGAGAGATTAATAAAATTACTCTACTCTTGAAACTCATGATCCCTTTCTTGTTTGAAATTTAAGAGTGGGGAGAGTATAGGCAAAAACCTACATTTGTCACCAGTTTTTCACATTGTAGATATCTAGTGAAACCTCCTTAGTTTTTGTTCAAATTCAACTTCTTCTTGGTATCACTGAAAAATCTTTTCCTGAAGAGTGGTTCATTTGTACCACTCTAAAAAAAACAAAACCCCAGCAACCACAATCTCAATTTGTTTAATTAGCCATGTTCTGTTGCTTAGGAACAGGATTATGTTGTTCTTCCTCTTCAGCAAAATAAGCTTGCAATGGCACAACTCTCAACAAGACCCAGAATTTCAGATTTTGTATTTCACATTGAAGGCTTGGAAAGGTATTTACAGCTTGTGCTGCTAGTTAGTTTAGGACAGAACAGAAAGCAAATCTTCAGATGTTTTGGACTTCAGCTTCCAGAAACCTCTGCCATCATGGCCAATGGTCAAGAATGCTAGGAGCTGACTTTCAGAACATCTGGAAATTTATTTTCTGCTCACTCCTGGTTTAGCAAACTATTTTAACCGCTATTTTGTTTTGTATAGATATTGCTTGGATTCACATGCCCCAATAACCCATATTCTAGGCTGAGTATAGTTTCAAGGTAGGTTGTTCTTGAAATGTGAGTTGTGTTGTGTGAACCCAGCAATTCCCAACACGATAACAAACCATTGGTTCTGTGTTCGTGTGTGTGTATGTGTGTGTGTTTTGTGGTTACAAACCACAGATTCTTAGCATGGCTGGGTTCACACAACTCATGGTTCAAAAAGAACCCATGGTTTAGTAACAACCCACACTCAGTCCATATTCAGCCTTGAGTATGCTTTGTTATGTTGTTTGAACCCAGTCACTGGCTGCTTCCAAGACAATGGATGCATTGCACTACCAATCAAAAGGTAGCAAGTAGCTATCGCCTCTTTTCCTACTTCCTCACCCCACCCTTTTTAGTAAGAAAAAAGATGGATAAAGCAATGGGGGGAAAACAGGAGGATTCCAAACTTAAAATACTGTCTTCTGGACCACTAGTAAAATTCTGTAAATGAGGCAGTTTGGTTGCAAAATAAAAGATAAGTGGAATCTGTAGTGCTAATGCAGGCAAAGTCTCCATTAGTTCATCACTGCCATCCATCTACTTACCTTAGCAATATCATACATGACAGAAATTTTGAATTCCCAGTCCATGAAGGTGCCATCAGGGTAAGAGATTTTATCATTTAAGACATCCTGATATAGAAAGAAGCAAAGCTTGGTAAGAAACTATGCTAAAATTAACACAAAACAAAAGAAGCTCTGTTGCTCCATAGGAGTAACAATCTAAAATCCATGATGGGGCAGTACCTCTGTTAGAACCAAACGAAGTAGGGACCAAATTTTTGAGTCCTCCAGACCCCTTCATTAGGTTGCATGTGAGTGGAGGAGCAACCAATTTGTATTGGTTTTATTCCAATACAAATAAGAGTTTTGCGGGACTCTGATCTAGAATGTGACCACTATGGGGCAAAGTCCTTGCTAAAGTCCTTCTTCCTGTCACACCAAGTTCCAGTTCCCATTGTTCCCCCACCTGCAACTTGCTTTTAAAAAGCAACTAACACAATTGCTAATTGTGTGAATGACATCTCTGGGTCTCACAGACTTCCAGAGGAAGGGCTCCTACTGTTATGAATAAGAATGGATTGTACAGGTAATCTAGCTTTCCCTCCCTAATGATGTTTTTTCCAGTAAGAAAGAACAAGTGGTATTAAAACCCAAACAATTTACATATTAAACAGTACTGTCTAGAGCAGCACAGATTAACAATAAGTTCACTGGACAGGTGAGAGAAAGAAACAAAGATTATCCTCTGGTAACAGCTGCAGGACCACTAGTGCTTATCCAGAAAACAAGTTTTTGAGCACTGAATGCAATGGGTTCTCAGCTATTGCAGGTATCTAGATGTCCTCCCTCAGGGAAATGCTGCTGTTTACCTGAAACCCATTTCCCCCTGGTCTCAGAGATATCACCTTGCTGCTAGAAAAACATCATGTTTGCTTGTTCCCAGCTCCCACTTTTATAGCAATGAAACCAAGAGTCTTGTGGCAGCTTAAAGACTAACATTTTTATGTCATAAGCCTTCAGGAACACAGTCCACTCCATCACTGCAATGGTGAGTGTTGCAGATACCACATGTGACAAAGCATCCTAATCCATTTTGCACAATTTTAAAAGTGTATTTAGTGTGTGTGTGTGTGTACACAGGATGATGAAAATTGTTTAACCAATTTCTGATACTGACCCCTACTCCTGTTTAACCAAGTCTCTGATACTGACATGTTAGGCATGTCATGAGCAGAGCTGGCTAGAGGTGGGGTTCAGACTAGATGGCCTGGGAGGTCCCTTCTGACTCGCTCTGTTTCTTTGTTTCCTTAATATCAACTTGAAGTAAAGACAGTGATTTTCTAGATTTCAGTGAGCTTGCATTAAGTAAATGGGAGACAATTGCCCTCTTGTAGGCTTCATTTGAGATATTGATAGTGATTTGGAGAATCAAGAGATCACACAGAGTATGCTTCTCCTCATTCTATCCTTCTGGCCTCAAGTACTACTTGTTTTTAGAGGTGAAGGGCTATTGACTGCCTTTGCTACAAATTGATCAACAAACTACAAAGCTAATTACCCGCAGTGAGCCTCTTTCACAGTATTCAATCACTCCATAGATCATCGAGTCCATCTTGACTGTCCCATAGAACTTTGTCAGGTTGTAATAATCAATCTGAAGGAGCTAGAGCAAAGACAATCTACATTTCAGCATCAGAAGACTTATAATAATCAGGTATAATGTTAAAGAGCAAGTTCCCCAGGATTTCCTTCACCGAGGGTCACAGAATGACAGTGGCTGCAAGGGAGCACTTTTGGCTACTGCCATCCAATCCCACATCGCACGCTCCAGCCAAGGGTGGCATCGGCAGGAGCATGGGGCAGGGAAGCTGGCAGAAGAGAAGGCCCACCTTGTTCGGTGCTCCAAGGCCCTGCAGCTCATCAGTGGCATGCTTCTGCTGGCCTGTGGGGCTGGGTATGGCTAGTGAAGGGGACAAGTCTGCCTGTTAGCTGCCCATGCCCCTTCCCCACAACTCAGTTGTGGGAAGGGAAGCCCAGCACTCATAGTCAATATCCTCCCCTTCTCCGCCCAACTCACAAATGGGAGGCAGGCCAGGTGGGAGGGCAAATCTGCAGGAGGGGGTTTATTGGCTAAGTATCTCTAGGAGAAGTCCAGGCTGAAGGTACCATCCTGACCCTTAACCCCCACCCCCAGCTTGGTTGATGGAACGCTCACAGACAGGAGGGCAAACTGGTGTCTGTTGCACACCCTTTCCCAAGTCCTAATTGGTGCTGGTAAAGGCTTGGAGGGATGGAGAGGAGATGCTTCCACATGCTCCCTGGCTGCCTTCAGCCACCCTGCATGTCTTCTCCTGTGTAAAACTGATTTGCCACTATGTGAATGCAGTGCTGCACTGGATGGACCTTTGGTCTGATCCAGCATGACAATTCTTATGTTCTAATGTTCTAGGTGACTGGAAGAAATGAGGCACCTGGCACTAGCCTTGGAAGGCCGGCACAAGGTGGTCCACCTGTCTCCCACTCTGTTTACCGCTCTCTGCAGCAGGATCAGTCAGGGCAGTGGATGGCAAGCCACTTCAGGGCAGAAAAGCAGAGAGGCTAATTTCTTCCTGCTACCACCTGTGCAGTGGAGAGGGGGCTGGCAGCAAGCAGGGTTCAGCCGGGGGGCCTTGCTTCTTCACAAGGAAGCAAGTGTAGGCAGCTCGTACTTCTGCGTGCTGCCACCTCAGGCCCCAGATGGGCCAGGGGTGGTGCACTGTGCACCCCAGCAGCTTCTCCCACTTAGGCACTTTGCTGGCTGTCATCAGCGAGAACCCCTTGACCAGAGTGGCAACCCTTTTTTGTTCAGATAACAAGCTAAACTAAGGAGGGTTGTCTAAATCCTAGAACAAGCCATGGGTACTTGGGCTGGCATAGCATAAGCTGTGGCACAGATACTGCTTCTTGTGCTCTTCAGGAGAATATTACTGCCTAAAGCCAGTATATGTTTTAATTCAAAAGTGATTAAAAAGTGTCTGCAGAAGACAATAGTAAAGATTGCAAGGTTACATAGGATAATTCCTGGAAACTGAGCTAGCATGTCACATTACTGCCCAAAGTGAGTTATGGCATATTGTAGAAGCCTCATGGAAAAAATCCATGATATGATGATTAAAGAAAATATATAAACAGAGCTACTGATTTTGCTGTGTTTGCGGGTGGCTGTAAGCTGTAGGTATAACATTTACCTTGTTTAGGTCTATTTTCTGTCTCTCTGTAAAGTTTCCATCACTGTGTTTGAAATCCTTCAGAATAATCACCTAGAAAATGAAAGCAAATGAAAAATGATAGCAGAATCACAGTAATCCATATACAGCAACCTGAGAGCTTTGCATAAGTAGATTAGGTTTCAGATATTAGTTTCATTCACTGATATTTACCTCAACTAATATGAGAAAATGACCACTGTTAGCATTTTCTGTGTTGAGATATTAGCTATATGAGCAGAGGCAGGAACTACCATGAAGCATACTAAATATATTAGAGGTGACAGCAGAAGAATTAAGCTTATGGGAGTAAAACATACAGTTAATCAGCTACATTTCTTATGAGAGTAAAACATAATCAGCTATACTTCCCACACTCAGTTAGACGGTGGGTTTCGAGGCTGAAGCTGTTGCTCTCTACAGTGCACTGATGGTTTAATGTCTTCATTGAGCAATAACAAGAAGTTTCCAAAGGAAGAGGTTTTAAAGAAGCACAACATCACCAACCTGTTCCTAATCTATTTAGGTTTGCAAATAGCTGGGAATAGGCATGAGATGGAGCCTTAATTGTTTTGCAAAGGTTCTGCTCTAGGGAGGTTGGAGTAACTTATACCTTCTTGTCATATTTGCCTTGACGCAGCCTCTGCATTGTGTCCCGCCTTTTGTCTTCATCAATCTGAAGAACAAAGAAGGTTCTTTAGCTGGCTTCAATAATATACTCCACCCCTGGTGTGTGCCAGAAAACAAAACATAACTCTTAGGTGTTCCACCATGGGTTGGGGCATCAGGCTCAAGCACACGCTCAGAACATGAATACTATTGAGGTCCTTTGTGCAGCCACTGCTTTCCATGTATTACTCGTCATTCATAGACTTCACTTTAGGCAGCTTCTGCCTTGTGAAGAATAACTTTCATTGCATTTCCAAACAACACTGAATACCTGTGAAAAACCAATACCTCCCAAATACTACATCAATAGCTTTCACTGTGTGGAGCATGGTTCCACTGTGTGGAACAACAGGTAAAGTTAAAGGCATCTCTTAGGTATTATTTGGAATGTACTAACTGATGGATGCAACAATTGGTGGTCCTTTGGAACTCACGGAGTTTCCTTTTTAGAGGGTTGCCCCCATGTTTGAAGGCTTTGTGTGTGCCTGCTGTGCAGTTCCAGTGTATGAGTGTACAAAGAAAGAAATTTACTAATGCAGGGGGAGGTTGAAAAGGCTCTTCCTGCTGTACAGTTTTGACACAAAAACATAAGTCTCATTCAATTTTGCCTTTTAAAAGGAGAGCACCAGCAGCTTGGCTATTCTTCCAACAATCTATTACATGTAGACAGAATATTATGTTGCCTTAAAATCAGTGTTGCAGAGGGGCTGGGAGTCAAAGTGACACCCACATCAAATTTCCCTCTTTCCTTTGAGTTTAACTGCAATCCTCACAGTAGTAGAAGCAAACAGAACTTCCAGCAATAATATATTAGAGAGAGCAAAAAAGATGAATCCACACAGGTATCTCTTGGACTCTTCTCAGGTTGTAGCTATGGGGACCTTGCACTTCAAGAGTTACCACTGCTATATAGTTGCACTACTATACCACTGCTTAAAAATCATTTATGGAATTAGCAAGCAAAGTTAAGTATGTGCTTGGGGTGTGCTTTTACAGGTGGTGTGAAAGGGTTTTCGACCAATATTTGCTCTAGAAATCTTTGTATCTTTCAAGACACTTGCACCAACCTGCATAATAGGTTGCAGTGCAAATATTTAGCCAAAACACAGTTAGTTGGTTTTCTACACTCTTCTGATAAACTTACCTATCTCATAAGCTTATACTTTTCATAGAGAAACAAATGAAAGATCAAGTTACATTCCTGTGCTAAGGTTGTATCAGTTTGATCCTAACAAAGACATTCAAACAGAAGCATTTATGCTGCTTTGATTTGACTTTTGATTGAGCTTGTCACTAACACCTAAGCTTGATGGCATGAGAAAAACAAGGTTTCCTACTGAAAGTCAGGAAATATATGCATCAGATAAAGAAAATGGACCATCATCAGCCCATGTGTCTGCTGATGATGCAAATGACATGAAATATTGTGACAGATAAATAAAACTAAGGGCACCATCTAACCTTGCTGCCCATAATCTCCAAGCTCAGAATACTGCAGACTTCCAATCAAAGGAGGAGAAGGCTAGGATTGTCTTTCATTTCCCTTGTCCTCCAAAACTTTGGGAAGCCAACTGCTTCATCTAAACATTTTCACCATTCCTGCATGGACAACCTTTGAGCTCTGCCTGAATTCTTTAGGTTGTGCCTTGCTCCTCTTCTGAAAGTGGCCCTCTAGCAGTTGTCCTAAAGGCAGACTTCCATCTTCAGAGCAGCAGCAGCACAGAAAGAACCACACCAGCTGTGAGGACAGACGGAGGGCTCTCCAAAGATGGTGTATCCACTGCAACCTCAGAGGGCTTTCCCTTTTCATTTTTTTAATTATGTTAAATACAAACATATATGAAATGGTTGCAATTTGTAAATGCTAACAATTTTTAGTCTGGTTCTATGCTGTCTCAGAGCACATCATGAGAAAGGTGGGGCTAGATGAATCACCAGTTGGAATTAAGATTGCCAGGAGAAATATCAACAACCTCAGATATGCAGATGATACCACTCTCATGGCAGAAAGTGAAGAGGAACTAAAGAGCCTCTTGATGCAGGTGAAGGAGGAGAGCACAAAAGTTGGCTTGAAGCTCAACATTAAGAAAACTAAGATCATGGCATCCGGTCCTCTCACTTCCTGGCAAATAGATGGGGAAGAAATGGAGGTAGTGACAGATTTTATTTGCCTGGGCTCCAAAATCACCGTAGGTGGGGACTGCAGCCAAGAAATTAAAAGACGCTTGCTCCTGGGGAGGAAAGCTATGGCAAATCTAGACAGCATACTAAAAAGCAGAGACATCACCCTGCCAACAAAAGTGTGTATGGTCAAGGCTATGGTTTTCCCAGTTGCAATGTATGGCTGTGAAAGTTGGACTATAAGGAAGGCTGAGTGCCGAAGAATTGAAGCCTTTGAATTGTGCTGGAGGAGACTCCTGCAAGTCCCCTGGACCGCAAGGAGATCAAACTGATCAGTCCTAGAGGAGATCAACCCTGACTGATCTTTAGAAGGCCAGATGTTGAAGATGAAACTCAAATACTTTGGCCACCTAATGAGAAGGAAGGACTCCTTGGAGAAGATCCTAATGCTGGGAGATGGCAAAAGAAGAAGGGGACGGCAGAGAATGAGGTGGCTAGATGGAGTAACTGAAGCAGTTGGTGTGAGCTTAAGTGGACTCTGGGGGATGGTGGAGGACAGGAAGGCCTGGAGGAATGTTGTGCATGGGGTCACGATGGGTCGGACGTGACTTCGCGACTAACAACAACAAATGCTGTCTCAACATTTCCCAGGTCACAGTGAGAATGTCACCTTTTCCAATGGTGGGTCAGAGAGCATCTACTGATCATGGGATTGCACCCTGAGAAACACTTAAAATTGTAAGAATTATGCAGGAAAAGACACACATATTATCCTGTTTAGAAGGGAAATGTAGCTCAGTGATGATAAAAAGCAATGAGGTAAATACATTACTTCCAAAAAACATAACTGAGAATGTTGGGGGAAAATAATGACTAACCATTAAAGGAATTCCATTCAGCAGAATGGAAGTGTTTGTCAACAATTCTAGGCATCCAGCTGGAGCAGCGACCACAGGGCTGTCAGATTTAATATACATTTAAGTGGAAGATTGCCAAAGAGGTCCCATGCAGTCAGATTTGAGTTCCAAAGAGGAAATTTCTCTAAAATGAGGGAACTAATATAAAGGAAGCTAAAAAGTCTGGAGGGCCAGATTCTTTCAAAGTCCTTGATGATTACTCAAAATCACAGTAACAGAAACTTAGGTAGTATGTATGCCACAAGTTAAGAAGAGCAGCATGACATCCAAAAGGTCCCAGCATGGTTAACAAGCGGTGTCAAGGAAGTGATTGGAGAACAGACATCTTCCTTCAGGAAAAGGGTTATCTTGCCCAAATGAGGATAGGGGAGTGGAAGTTCACACAAGATGCAAATAGGCAATAAGATTCAAAAAGGCATTTTGAGGAGCACATTGCTAGCAACATCAAGGCCAACAACAAAGAGTTTGTTAAATATCTTAGAAGCAGGAAAGCAGCCAGAGCAGTAGTTGGACCACTGGATGATAATGGAGTTAAAGGACTACTAAAAGAAGATAAAGAGATGGTGGAGAAGCAGAAGTGAATGGAGAGCTGGACTAGATAGGCCACTGGTCTCATGCAATGTGGTTTTCCTTAATTCACTGAAGTAGATACAGGACAGATATCTGTGCCTGAACTAATGTTTTCAGGAAGGGAGTCTAAGGAACTAAAGCAGATGGTGGTGACAAGAGATAGGATTTTCAAACTTATTGACAAACTGAATAAATCACTGGGCCCAGATGGTATCAGTTGCAAAATTTTTAAAGAGCTCAAATATAAAATTGCTGACCTTTCTACAAAAATATGTAACATGTCCCTAAGATCAGCCTCTGTACCGGATGACTGTAGTGTGGCCCATGTAACATCAATTTTTTAAAAAGGGATCCAGGGGGATCTGGGAAATCACAGGCTTAACATCTGTTTCAGTACATTTTAGGAAGTATTATTAAAGATGGAATTAGTAAGCAAATAGAAGGCCAAGCCCCAATGAAAATGAATCAACTTAGCTTCTGTAAAGTTGAGTCCTGTCTCACTAACCCCTTAGCGTTAACTGAGGGTGTCAATGAACATACAAACAGGGATGATGCAATAGAATCTGTTTACAGAGACTTCCAAAAGGCTTTTGACTAAGTCCCTTACCAAAGAATCATGAACAAGTTTAGCAATAATGGAATAAGAGGAGAGGTTCTTTTATGGTCAGTAACTGGTTAAAGAATAGAAAAAAAAGAGTGGGAGTAAATGGTAATTTCTCCTGATGGAGGGGGGTTAACAGTGGGATCCCCCAGATTTCTGTTTTATTTGAAAAATATATAAATGATCAGGAATTGGGATGAAGTGGCCAAGTTTGCTGATGATACCAAACTATTTAGGGTGGTTAAAATCAGCACGGATTGCAAGAAGCTTCCGAAGGATATCTCCAGACTGGGAGAATGGGCATCAAAATGTCAGATATAGTTCAAATTGCAAGTGTACAGTATTGCACACTGGACAAAAATTCCAAAAACTGAATATAAGCAAATATACCCTAACCCCAACCTTGAATATAAGGTTTCAATTTTTGAGCTGAGAAGGGATCTGGGCTGGTAGTAAGTGATCAAGAAAAGGATCTTAGGTCTATAGCTCAATGAAAATGTCAATCAAGTGTGCAGCTGCTGAGAAAAAGGCAAACTCTTTGCTAGGCATAATTAGGAAAAGCATTGAAGATAAAACTGGCAAGATCATGCTGCTCTTATATAAATCTATGGTGCTATCACACTTAAGACTATTGGGTATAATGCTCATTTGTTGTTTCTTTTAAAAGATACTGAAGAGTTGGAAAGAGCACAGTAAAAGGCAACTGACAAATTCAAGGGATTGGAGCAATTTGCCCATAAGGAAAGGTTACAACAGCTGAGAGAGTTTAACTTAGAAAGAAGTTATTCATGGAATAATCCCATGAATCTGATCAGTGAGAGATTCAGGACAGATTTCTTCATATAGCGCATAGTTAAACTATGGAATTTTCTTCCATGGCTTTAAAGGGGAATTGGACAAATTCAGGAAGGAGAAGTCTGTCCACAGCTACTTGTCCTGATGCCTAAATTCTACCTCGTGTAGCAGGGGCAGTATGCCCATTTAAAGCAGATGCTGGGGAACTTGTGTGGGAGGATTCTTATGCATTCATATTCTCCTTGTGGGACCCAGTGGGCAGTTGGTTTGCTACGTTATGAAAAGAATGCTGGAATAGAAGTAACCTGGGTCTGATCCAGTATAGCTCATCATGTTACATTCCTAAAAGAAATAATTAAAATCTGAGAAAAAAATATAAGACCTCCAGGACATTCAGCCTCACAGAATAAAGCATCAGTCCTCACAAAATACTAACTCTGTTTTCAGGAGGACTATGTCACCAGTTCTCATTGACCTCTCTGCTTTATTTTTCTGCTGGCTCAGAAATATTAGAAGGTGAGATTCCTTAACCTTGAAAGACAATGCTCTTAAATAATTCTAATGATGTTTTAATATGGTGTGTGCTGATCTGTGATCACTAAATACAAAAACCTATACACAATATCCCTGGACAAGGATCTGTCATAGGCAGCTTTTCACCCAGACTGTTCCAAGACCTTGAGTATGATTAGTAATATTATCTCATGAACTCATGGCACAGAGGCCTAGTGAGAAAGAATGTGTGCTTCATCGCAATTATGAAAAGATTGTTCATGGGCATACATTAAATTGGATAACTGGCTTTAATTCCAGCGAGGAGATTAGGAGAACACAAAGCATTTTTTTTCCTATGGTGCAATCAGTACATCCACCCTAGTATGCAGAAGACACTTGGGACCATCATATGTGAGGTGAAAGAAAATGCCATCTCCTACCTTCAGACTGACATGACTTGTTTCATTGGTCTCCAAAGGCAGTATCTTCTCAGGTGGAATATGGGACCATTTCTTTTGCTGGAGTTGGTAAGCTCTTCTGTATTTCCTGTATAAAAAAGGTAAATTTAAAGGTAAAAGGTAAAGAGAGTCAGTGTGGTGTAGTGGTTAAGAGCGTGGGACTGGGACTCAGACGATCTGGGTTCTAGTCCCCGCTCGGCCATGGAGCCAACTGGGTGACTTTGGGCCAGTCATAGACTCTCAGCCCAACCTACCTCACAGGGTTGTTGTTGTGGGGATAAGATGGAGAAGGAGAATGATGTAAGCTGCCTTGAGCCCTTTGTAGGAAAAGGCAGGATATAAATAGAAATATAAATAAATAAATAAATATAAATGCCTGTAGGAATTCTTGGAACACTGAAATTTGGAACTGGAACTAGTCATAGACATAAAGGAGAAGTTAACAACCTTAGAAATGAATTACTACAGAAGACATTTGACTGAAGCTGAAAACAGATCTTGGAGAGAAGCTACTAAAGACACCGACCTCAGACAAGTCTTAATCATGCTTCTAGCACAACCAGCATGAAAAACCCAATGAAAACCAGAATGCTTCAGATATGGAGAGCAGAGAATCCATTACTGAAACTTATCTGCCAGAGTGTGAGAGGAGTGAGGAAGAAAAGATGGAAAAAGAGCCCTTACTCCCAGTTGGAGGAACTGATTAAGACCTGGTTATACTGGTTATACAAAGCATGGTTAGAACTGAGCAGCAAATCTACCACAGAGAAACTGATCCATTGGCAGAACAAGTAGTGTGCTGGAACTTTTGTAATCTAATTCATTTGTGCTGAGTAGCTTTTGTAGAGAGAAGACTTCATAGTGCACACTTCAGAAGGAATTTGTGGACCTTTGACCAGGAAAGCGGAGGAAGAGGAAAAGAGGGATGTACCTCAGAACCAGCAGAGCGATGATGAGAACCAGCACAACTGTGGCAGTAAGTGTGAAAACTGCTATAGTCAAGATGTGTGGGCCTGCAAAGCAAGACATGGGCAATCAGATAATAACAAGAACACAGAAGGCTGCCTTGCATCAGGTATCATAGGCAGCACAGCTATGCACACCAGTGGCTCAGGAACTTGGGCAGGAAGCTGCTGTTGCCCTCCTGTCCTACTTGTGGGATCCTGTGAGCAACTGGTTGGCAACCCTATGAACAGATCACCAGACCTGATATACCCTTGGTTTGATTCAGCATGGCTTTGCTCAAGTTCTTAAGTCAGATCATTGGACCATCAAACCCAATGCCATTGTTTTAATCTTTATTTTACAGTTTCAAAAATATTGCAGAAGTACAAGTTTATAAAATGTGTAACGAATTCCTATGTCCCTTCTCCTCCCACAAATATTCCATGTGCACATTCTTAGTTACAGAAAAGGTATGTTACACTGAAGCTCATGTGTTGTGTTTTGGATAGTTGTGATTACTAAGCATTGTTCTTTATGTTTTCTTGACAAGTTACTCCAGAGAGAGCCACGAGCTGCTGCTGGTTTTATTGTTGTACTGTCTCTTCTAAGGTACTGAAATATTTGTCATGGCTCCTCAAAACCATCTTTGACTCTCATGCTTTTCAGAACTTTAAGTTGCCTGGGTAACTTTTTCACGAGGACAATATTCCATACTCTATCCAACCAAATCTCCAGTGTCAAAATAACAGCGGTTTTCCAAAGCCCTGCTGGAATCTGACTGCTTGCAGACATAAAAGTATGAATATCTTTAAACAGTGGGTCTTTTAAATAATCTAGAAACAAGTTTAATATTGCTCATTTGGGATCACAGGGTACCATTTGACCTGTGATAACTGATACTTCATTCATAATTTCTTCCAAAAAGGACTAAACCTTCCACCATGTACAAATAGGACCCCATTTGCCAACATCTCCAGCAGGTTTAGAGGTTATTCTGTGACATTTTATAAGCCTATAGTGCCATCTGTGTGCTGTTTGTATGCTCTTGTATTGTTGCCAATGCCAGCTTGAATAGCTGTTTTCCCTATAGTTACTGCCAATCTAATATTTCTATGTTACACTTCAGGTCTGCTTCCCATGCGGATTTTAAAGAGTGCACGTCACCAGTCACTGAGTCACATACAATCTTATAAATGTTTGATAGTAGTTTCTTGGAGGACTATGTCAAATTTAAAAGTAGTTCCTCTATGATGGGGTGACCAAACCAAGACTTGTGAGCATCATGCAGCTCACTGAGTTTATTTTCCAGCTTGCCATTAGGTGTTTGCAGCCACCTGCAGGTGCCCACATCTGACATTTAGCATATGGGGTTCCTCCATTGAACAAGTCTGACCACCCCATTCTATGCTATTTAGGGATTAGATAGCATGAGGCGGCGGCGGCGGCGGCGGGGTGAGGGGGGGGGAACCTGTGAAAGCAGAAGTAAATTGGATTGCTTGATATATAGTCAGTGATCAGCTTCAACATTTCCCAGTTTCTCTTTTAGTTGTGTTCCTGTAAGGAGGTTTCATATATTTATAAAGTTGTCTGAACATGTAGGGTTCTGTTTCCAGTCCTTACATTGTCGTTCCCTACTTTTGTTGTAAACGAGTGGGTGAAGGCAAAAAAGAACAAGAGATGAAATAGCTGGAGCCAATCTTTAGTTCAGCTGGCTCAGATATTTGCTCCACTAGAACAAAGGAACTCAGGAGCTTTTTACAAACAATTGGTTGTTGTGGCAGAAATGGTGATGCTGCTGGGCAATATGTTCTAAAAGAGCATAGTTCTAAGGAGATCCATGTCCTTTGCAAGGTATACTACATTAATATCTTTGTGCTGCATCATGATACCATATTAAATTTGGTATTCCACATCCTCCCAGGTGCATGGGTTTATAAAGAACATTGTTCTTGGGACCTGTTTTATTTTGTGTATTAAGTTATTATCTAATTTTTCTAAATAAATTTGAAGCCATGAATGTTGGGAAGTCCTCAAATAGAAGATTCAAATGAGATAAGATCATCATTTTACATTAAATCGAATAGATTTCCTTAAGGCATCAAAAATAATTTTCTTTAGAGTTTCCATTTGTTGTACCGCCAAGATATTTATGTGTTTCAGACAGAATTTAATTTTAGATTGTTGATATAAATATAGTTCTGAGGAGGTGACATTAATTATGATAATTTCTGAGTTTTCATAACTGATTTCCATTCTTGACAATCATCCATATTCCACAATTTCCTTAAGAGCAGCTGATAAAAATGATTTAGGGTTATTTTGCATCATCATCTGGAACAAATCAGATTCAGCTAGATAGGAAAAGTTTCCTAACTGTCAGAGCAACAGGACAGTGGAACTAGTTGCCTAGAGAGATCATGAGCTATCCCACACTAGAGACATTAAAAGTGTTTGAACAGTCATCTGAGTGGGATGGTGTAAACTAGTGTCCTGCACAGCAGGGTGTTGGACCCAATGGCCTTCTTGACCCCTTCCAACTCTACAATTCTATTATCTGTGAAGAGGTTGACATTGTGAAAAGATCCAGCCGACTCCACTCCTTATATTAAATAATTTTATTGCTTCTTTTTAGCCAGTGGATCCATGCAGAGGGCAAAAAGCAAGGACAAGGGTGGACAACCCTGGCTTGTTTCCCACTCTAGACTCTAGACGGAACCTGGGTGTAGCACAGGCATTCCGTCTGACTACTTTGACTATTTATATATTTTTAAAATCAGAATATATTTCTTTGGAAATAACATTTTCTCCAGCAAGACATATGAGAAACCCATTATTGCTGTTCTCTGTTGAGAGTGTTTACTTTTGCTTCACTCATCTACTTGTCAATTGTGTGGTATCTGTTGTTTTAGGTATGAAAAGACTTGGAATTTTTCTCCCAGCATTTTTGTACTATGCAGTTTTCCTCCACCATGTCCTTGCAAATTTATAATCTGTTCTGTGTGATTTTCTTTCTAATTTAACAGTCAGCATTCTTTAATTTTTATTACCAAACAAATCATATTTTTTATTTGTGAACTTAATTGTATTTGTGATTTTTCTAGTTTTGAAATTTACTAATTATATTCATTTTTGCAGTAGTCTCTGTTCATCATTTTACTACCTCATTTTTTGTATTTCAAGTGTTTTAATTTATTTGGAATCCAATTTTGGATGCCCCTCTTGATCTTTTAAGATGAGCATATTTACTTATCATCAGATGGTCTTGCATCACAGCTTTTACTGAATCTTACATTTGGACTTTGGGAAAGTCCCCAGTGTTGCTGATTAGGAAATAATTGCCAAGTTGTTTCTTCATTTTATTCACTATATATTTGTTAAAATTTAGATTTAGTTTCCATGATATTTTGAAGGAGTATCCATTATATGCATAGCAGAAAAGGCAGGAGCATGGTCACAGGGACACGGAGACCCTGGGTGAGAAGGGTTGTCCTGTCTTGTTTTGGGGCTTGTCAAGTAGGCATTTTAATTTTATATATTATCCCGATGAGAGAAAAATGTTTAAGTCATTAGGATTTTTTTTCTCAGTAGGCATCTGTTAAGTCAGCTTTGTTTATTATTTAAATTAGAGTCTACACATGTGGATGTTTTCCTAAGGTCCCCTTTTCTGTCTTTTTTACTGTCACTAATCCAATTTTAAGCATTTTCTCTTGAATATAATGCCCTTTGCAAATTGTGCAAGTTCATGTGTAATAGCTCATTAAAAATCCCTTTCATTATTATTGAGGCTGTATAGCAGTCTTAGGGTCATTTCAAATCTTGCATTAATCCTTTAATTAAGATAGATGTTCTATTTAGACCATTCAGCTGATCTTTCATTACAAAGCCATGTTTATTAGCAATCCAAATTTCTGCTCCTCTAGCCTTAGAAGTGCTGGGGGCCATATTCAATTCCCTTTCTGTTCCAGGTATTAGGGTTTAAGGCTTTACATGGGGGACTGGGATTCCTCCATTATTAAGATGCCAAGGGCTTCTCTTTTTAAGGAAAAACTTATTCTTCTTCATTTAACTGATCTGAATATTTACATTTCATGGACATCTTTTCAGACCCATAGTTTCAAAAAATAACTTAAACTTCCTCAACCTGAAATGTATGTGTAACGACTACTCTGCCGTAAGACATGGGGTTTGGTCTCATCAGACAAAGAGACCAAAGAGAAAAAGAGGTTTGGAGTTCTGACCAATATCCTTAATGTATTAATACTATATCCTGAAAAAATATGAAAAATACTAAGCATGAGTATTAGTAGAATCAAACAGTGAAATGCCTGTCCCAGGAATGGAGTTAAACAGCTTGTAGTTCTTCAAGAATGGAGCTTGGTATTGTGAACTTCTGAGAAAGGTCAATGAGAATTTGACACTGCAATTGAGAAAAAAAGGGTTCTCCCAACTAATAACAGTCTCAATATCATTACTGACTCTCTCCATTCCCTTTGCAGAGGAATGATCGGTAAGGAGTTAATGAAGAGGATAGTTCCACCACTTCCCCTCTGCCCACACCACATCATACTGTTATCATTAAAGGCAATAATCTCAATATGTTTTCTATTATTTTTACAATTTTTAAAGGACAATTTGCATGTAGCTTATTGAACATTAATAGAACATACTATTGTGTTTAGATTTTATAGTTTTGCAAAATGCTAAAATTATGGAAATCACTGCCTGTGTTCTGTAGCTGCCAGTCCTCATATACTCTTGTCCTTGCCATTTTTCACTTTTGGTTTCTTGCTTTTCTTTTATTTCCTCTGTCAGTTATAGAAATGTTTATATGCTTGCTATAAATGATTATATCTGAATCATTCTGATAACTTTTCCTCTTCTCTATCCTCTCCTCCTCCTTGTCTAGGTCAGGGTGGTGAGCATTTTCTTTGTTTCTTCATGGGTAGTAGCAATTAGAGCAGGTTCATCATTATTGCTATCAGCTTGAAGGGGAATCCCTAGTGGTAATGGATTTCAGCATCACCCAGTTTTTCAGGAATTTTTAAAACATGCCTTTTTTACAGGGCTT